TAGTCCTTGAAGTTTGTTGACATTTTTTATTAACAGAACTGTAAGTCTTTTTTCGTATGTGGATTAAGAGATTATGTTAAAATATTTATTAAACAAAATGATTAAAATAATTTCTCAAAATTTTATTATTTATTTCAGCGAGATTAAGGAATTAGGCTAAATTTTTTAAGATTTTTCTAACATTTATATTTAATAAATATTTTATTATTTATTTTTTAATACATGTCACTTCATCATCAAGCCACGTCAGTAATATTGATTTGAAAATTACTGGTGTTGATAAATGCAAAAGACTAACGATTCTGTTAGTAAAAAGACTAACTGATAAAAAACGATATGAGTGAAATTGATAAATTAAGTTTATTATAGGGAAGAAAATGACCCTTAAGCCTTAATTTTAATATTTTAATTTTTATTATTATACATTATAAATATTTTTTATTTTAATTTATTTTAATTTTTGTTTTTCTTAAAGAATAAATAAACCGTCAAACTTTCTAAAAATTTGATTAAACCCTCAAACTTAAAAAAATTAACAAGTTTCTTTGCCATATTATTAGTATTATGTACCACTATTAAATGATAATTTTCATTACTCAAAAGATTACATTATTATTTTGGGTAAATTAGGCGTATAGTACCTAAACTATCAATTTTTGTTCGTTTTATTATTTAAACTTTTAATTTTTTTAAAACCACACCTAACATTTAATTTTTGTTTCATTTTAATACTCTCACCATTAAAAACTTAACAGACGGACTTGTTGACGGTCATGTCTATAGTCCTCGGTCGTCGCATCCGTCGAATGTTGAAGCCCAAACTTTTCAGCTTGCACATTTTCACCAGAAAATGCCCCAATCTCCCAAAATCGACTATGGACTCTTTGACTTCTTTATCATCCAATCTTTGTGGTCAACTTTCGATGGGTATGAAACTAAACTATATTGGTCAACTCGTCTTTCTCTAGTGGTCCACTGTTCGAATGATCGTTTGTCCATTGGAGTTATGCCCCATCAACCTGGCCGTTAAGTTTTTAACGACAATGTAGTAAAATAAAACAAAAACTAAATGTTAGCTATGATTTTGATTTTTTTTAAAGTTTAGGTACTAAAACAGACAAAAACAAATAGTTTAGTTACTAAATGCCTAGTTTACCCTATTAGTTTTAGTTTAAGAGTCATATTGTATATAAAATAAGTTTATAGTTCACACTGATTTTTATTCAAAGTAAAAGGACCTAAAGATGCATTAAGCCATTTGTTTATGATTTCTCTAAAAAAGCGAATAAAAGGTCAGTTTATGATTTCTCTAAAAAAGCGAATAAAAGGTCAGCCAATCAATGCAAACCACTTGCTCAAAGAAAATAAGCGAAATAATCTGAAAAGGCCACCACTCCCCAAAACACTCCTCTAATCTCCAGATAGCATCGACAATGGCCGCAGCCGCCAGAGTGATAGCCGTTGCCTGCCACTCCACCGCCACCACCTCTTCCTGCCTGCTTTTGAAGACGTCGTTCGCTTTGAAACGCGGCAGCAACGCACTCGGCCTCAACAACGGCAGACGATTGTCGAAGAGATTGTTCTCTTGCAATGCCATTTGTAACCCCCAGTTTCAGATCAAACAAGAAGGCCAGCCCGAGACTCTCGACTACAGAGTCTTCTTCGAAGATACTTCGGGCAGAAAGGTATTTTCACTTCCCATCTTGTCCCCCACCCCTAACCATTTATTTGAAATTTGATTCATTAAGGTTTTGATTTGAGATTTGATTGTGGCCTTAGATATCTCCTTGGCATGATGTTCCATTGCATTTGGGAGATGGTGCTTTTAGCTTCATCGTCGAGATACCCAAAGAATCAAGTGCGAAAATGGAGGTCGCTACTGATGAATTGTACACTCCCATTAAGCAGGACACAAAGAAGGGAAAGCTTCGATATTACCCGTGAGATTTGTTTATTTTGATTATTTTTATTGCTCATTTCAATTCTTGGGTTGTTTTCAGCTTGGGTTTGTTGCAATTAGAATTAAAACTAATGATGATAGCTGATCGATTATCTATAATTTTGATTTTAAATATCGAAATTTGATATTAAATATGTATGTATATGTGAGATTCAGTTTGGAATATGGATATCAAGTGTTTATATCTGAACCCATTAATATGGCATTGCTATGTAGTATGTTAAGGAGTTTTCGTTTCTGAATGATTCAATCCATTGCCCCTCAGCTATAATATAAACTGGAACTATGGATTGCTTCCACAAACATGGGAAGACCCATCTTTGGCGAACTCTGAAGTTGAAGGAGCATTCGGTGATAACGACCCTGGTAATTCCGATTATTGTTTCATTACTTGATACTTCTCACAAGATTTTTTCTAAAATATTTATTTTTTTTGTTTCTTTAAATTCTTAGTTGATGTTGTTGAGATTGGTGAAACCCGGAGGAAGATTGGTGATGTTTTGAAGGTTAAGCCCTTGGCTGCTTTAGCCATGATTGATGAAGGGGAGCTTGACTGGAAAATAGTTGCCATTTCATTAGATGATCCAAGGGCTTCTCTTGTTAATGACGTTGACGATGTTGAAAAGCACTTCCCGGTATTTCCCTCTTTACTTTCTGGGTTGTGATATCGTTTTAGATTGCTACGTTATTTTACCATGACGACATGCATTTCAAGACGTCATTGCCTCTTGTTATGGAATTGGATTATTGATGAAGGTGAACTTGACTGGAAAGTAGTTGCCATTTCATTAGATGATTCGAGGGCTTCTCTTATGAATGATCTTGACAGTGTTGAGAAGTTTATTTCTCTCTATAAGTTGAATTCTTGATATTGCTTCCTTATTTTACTATGACAACATGCATGTAAAGACATAAGTGTTGATTGTTGTGAAATTGTATTATCGAGCATCCGTTGGGTGATGTTTTCAGGGGGACTCTCATTGCAATCAGGGATTGGTTTAGGGACTACAAGATCCCTGATGGAAAACCGGCCAACAAGTTTGGCCTTGGCAACAAAGCAGCAAACAAGGTAAGTATCGGTTTTATATTTACCCATCGCTTCATCCTGGTTCAACCTGCATGTGTTCACCCAAATATTATCTGTTTGATAAACAGGATTATGCTCTTAAGGTTATTGCAGAGACTAGCGAGTCTTGGGCTAAACTTGTCAAACGGTCAATTTCCGCTGGAGAGCTTTCACTCGTGTAATTGCTACCAGGAGCACTAGAGCAGCAATGCATTCTGTTTCAAATAATCATCTGAGTTTTTGACTTTAGGGTCTCGGTAATCCTATGAATTGATGCCAATGCTCTTCTTTTTGCTTATTTATTTGAGTAAACTAGTTAACTCTTTTGACTGGGGTTGTATTTCTTGTTCATATGGTGCTCTGGTGTTGATTAATAGGAGGACTTACGTGGAAATGACTTCCCTTTGCAAATAAACAATGAAAATCTTCCTTCATGTAATTGCTGAGAATAGTCAAAGTTTCGGTCATGTTGCTGTATCATTGTTATATTCTCCGTGGCATTGGAATTATAATCATCCATGGGAAAATAATGCAAGAGAAGTTGCACATTTATGATAATAAAATAACTAGGAACTGAGATTCCATTGAGATGGGCATTGGAATAATAACCCTATGAGGTTTTCTAGATCGGGTTTAAAGACTGGTTGTTAGATATGAGTTTAGAAAGGGGTTAGTGAATTAAGAGAGTGAAGTTGTGGCAGCCATGGTTCTTATTGAGTAGGTTTTATGAGGGTTTCATGGAGATCGGCTAGGATTACTATAGTTCTGTTCAGTTAGAGGGTCTACCATGGTATCTACCCTAGTGTTGTGAACCTGTTCACTGGTAATCATGTTATTCTGTCCTTCATCGACATGTTTGCAACAGGTGATGGAATGAATAATTGAATTTATTTTTGTTTGCATGTATTCAAGCTCCCTGCTTGTTTCTGCTCACCACTCTATAGACTATTGTTCTGCCATTGTCAAGAATCATCGTCTCCGACATGTCTGAAACTTTAGACCCAGAATTCTTTCCCAGGTGTTGGTAAATAAAGTCCTACTAAACACAACTTTTATTCTATGAGTATTGTTTTACTTCTCATTAGAGTACTACCTTCCGCTGCACTGGGGAGCTGCCGAAGATGATGATAAGCAGTAAGCCTTATTCAAAATGCAGCAAGAGCAGGCTTAGGCGGATCGACCAAAAAAATATCAAGAAGCTGATCCATGGTGTACTTGTAATCCGGATATAGACTTGAAGTTTCAAGGTCATCTTCCCCAAGGTCATAGTTCAGATCACCTTTTACAAATATGCTGTGAAGGATGGATGCTGGTACATTATCTGGAAATGGTAAGTCTGCATTCATCAAAAAGTTTATGATTATCAAGTAAGCTTAGCAGCGTTTTCGCCCTATTACTTAATACTACAGGTTCGAGATTCGAATTCGAACTTACTCTCCGATAGTTTCAGAAGTTCTTCCTCTTGTACGTGTCTTCTTGAAACTCCTACCTGTTTTTGTCTCCCATAGAAAAACTATTTCAATCTGGGACAAAACATTCTCCGGTGTCCGGTAATGTACAATCCGGTTGCAAGTTCTCAGATCGTTTTCTACTTTGATTGTGTACTCCGCGATAACTTCCTCATAATTATACAGCACTGAAACGAATCATATATAGAAAACGATTCAAAACTCCAAGTTAAAGCTTTGTTTACGTAGCATGAATTGAACAACTTTGGTGGTTAAGGAATAATTGTTGTCCCTAGAGATTTTAGGTTTGAGCACGACACCTACAGAGATGCTTAGACGTTCAATGTTAAATGAAAAAGCTTTGGTTATGTACCCTTTGCTTCACCGGATCCATAGATGATCATATCCTCGCGTTCTTCGTCTGGACGAAGCAAATAATTTACAAAGTAAGCAGCAAATAATTTACAAAGTAAGCAGCAAAACAATTTGCAGATATGTAAATGTAGGGTATACCACATGCTTCCACTGCCCTTCTTGTCTAAACAAGCTTAAAACGGTGGAAGAAAGCTTAGTCGATCCTCTTCGATGCCAAATTCCGACGGAATGAACCTCTACACAGATTTCAAATATATAGATGTATAAAACCAACTAAATTAATTTCAGCTGCACCAGTTTCTTCATTCTTGTATGAAGAATGTTTTTGACCTACCTTTATGTTACCTGCAACTTTAATGGCTTCAATGATATGAATCTGGTCTGGAACCTGAGGGAACGGTAACGATGAGATCACGATATCGACTCGACGAAGTGTTGCCACGATCTTTTCATGGTCGTCCAGCTCTCCCTGATTCAATATGTACTTGTCAAATGTGCGTACATACATATATATCTACGTACATACCTCAATGACGGTAACACCGAGGGATCGGAATTCATCATGCAAGATGATCTTGTGGGGTAATGGGGCGGGCATAAACGAATGTTTGCTGGCCTAACTTGATGCTTGCCTTCACCATATACGTGTGCCTAAGTAGCCAGTTCCCCCAAATATTAGGATTTTACTCTTACTTTCTTCAACACCACCATTGGCTTCATTACCCATAAATCCTATTTCTTGTGATCTATACCCTCTTCATGTGGCCATATTTATAGTCTAATCCCTAGGGAAGAATGTGGAATTTTATATCATAATAAAACTTATATGGAATTTTATATCATAGTACAACTTATAAAATTTTAATTAGCGGAAACAAATTATCAATAGAATATAAAAATTCGGGTCAGGTCAAAATCGGGTGGAGGATATGTATTTTCGAGTCGATTCAGGTTGGGTGAAAAATATATAATTTTTGAGTCATGTCAAGTTCAGATGAAAAATACATATTTTTTGAATCGGATTGACAAAAAACCCAACCCGACCTGAACTAACCCGACCATGCATTTCAACATCAAATTCACTTTCGAACATGTCAAAAAGATTTAAAATTTATTGATGTATTCATAATTATTTTTTAAAAATTTTGCCAATTCCCCAAATATTAGGGTTTTACTCTTACTTGCTTCACCGCCACCATTGGCTTCCTTATCTATCTTTTCTATTTCTTGTGATCCACGCCCTTTTGATGTGATCATATTTATGTTCTTAATCTCTAAATTTTCTTGTGATCCAATGATAACATGCAAATGCTCTTACAGAAATCACAATCGAGTCATTTGAATCGGATACAGATCGTATCATATTAGATCGAAGAAGATATTTAAAATATCATAATTAATAACTAATGTCCCTGAAAATTAGAATTTATTAGAGTTTATGATCTGAATTCCGCAACTTAATTTTGTGTACTACTGTTTGATTGAAAGTAAGAATTCGTATGAAATAAAACTCCTACATTATTTTTATCATGTAAGTAATCCTATAAACAGAATGTAAAGTACACAAATGATCTCATGACTATAGAATATTACTTTATTAAGTTCATCGACTACTAAAAGCCATAAAATGGTCCTCCAACTATAGAGTGTTGTTTTGTTGAGTCCCTCGACTATTAAAAGTTATAAAATGATCACCCGATTATTCATTATATTCCAAACTCGTCATTTTCGTTAAAATTTGACGGTATTCTGAGTTTAGCGTTGACCCACTGACTATGATATGATTTGATCCCAGAGTCTCAAACAACTATCATATCACAATCATCATGTTAACGTCCAACTTAGACAACCGTCGATTTTTTAATGAAAATTTATAAGGTTGGAACATAATGAATAGCCGAGTGACCATTTTATAACTTTTAATAGTTGAAGGACTTAACAAAGCGACACTCTACAATTTGAGGATAATTTTGTAACTTTTAATAATCAAGAGGTTTAATAAAATAATACCCTATTGTCAGGGGACAATCTGTGTACTTCATCCATTTATTAATTAGGTCTTAAAAATAGTCGCAAACTTCTTGTAAGCTATAGTTTGATTCACTATTATTTTTGTAACAAATTAATGTCAGAAAATTCAGATTGATTAACTCAGTTATGATAATGATGTTACTAAAATATAATATTATGTTACCAATCATCGATTGATCTAATGAGATGAGGTACTATATCTTTTAAAGTAAGGTCTAGGGATTCAAATCCTGATAATTATGAATGGAGTAAATTGAATTGAGAGAATCGCTCTTATCTTTGTAGTATCCGGTCCGGATTATTCGATCAATAGATCAGATATAAAAAATAATATTATGTATTATATTATGACGTCATATTTATACTATGACAAAAAAATGTATATATAAACGAGTGTCGCACGTGTAAGTTTAAACTATGTTTTAAGAATCGATAAAGTGTCGCTATTATGAATAATTGAGGAGAAGTGAATCAAATTTTTTAATCTCAAGTTGATCTGTACACGTAGAATGAAACAATTTGCATGAAAAAGGCACAAATTACATGCTTAGTACTTAAACTATAAGTTTTTATTCGTTTTAATACTTAAACTTTCAATTTTATCAAAATCATAACTTAGGTTTAGTTTTTGTTTTATTTTAGTACATGCCGTTAAAAATTTAAGGGAACTTTTGCACGTGACATTTTTATGGGTAAATTACATCATTCATCCCTTAACTATCTTCTCACTCTCATTTTGATTTTTGAAGTTTAAAAATTTTCAATTTAAGTACACAACTTTCAAATTGCTCATGTTTTAATTACTCTAATTTATTTTATTATTTTATAATATATAATTAAAACAAAAAAATGAAAGTTAGAGTTATTAAATTAGGAGTAATTTAAAAGTTAAGTAATTAAATTAAAATAATTAAACTTCAATGACCATAATAAGAGTGAGAAGATAGTTAGTTGAGTGATGAATGATGTCATTTACCCATAAAAAAGTGTTGTAACAGTGTTACTAAGTTTTTAACCACGGATACTAAAATAAAACAAAAACTAAACGTTAGACATAGTTTTAAAAATTGAAAGTTTAGATTACTAAAACGGATCAAAACTAATGATTTAGGTACTAAACGCGTAATTTACCAAAAAAACTATACATCATTAATTTTGTAGAAAATGTTTTTTTTTCTTAAAAAGAAAAGACATTTAGATAAACTAAATATTCATGTAGACTTGATATAAATATTTAATTTTTTTTGAATTAATCACTAATTACTTTATCAACGGAGCTTGTAGTTGTCGATCGAGTTTATAATTCGATCAATATTATTACAGGAACATTATATAAGAGGACGTGAAATTAAATATGCTTAATCGTTCAATACCATCCGAATTTAAAAGGTAGCGAGAGCCGGCTTAGGCGGATCGGCCAGAAAAACGTCGAGAAGTCGATCGACGGTGGTGTACTTGTGATCCTGATATAGACATGAAGCTTCAAGGTCATTCTCCCCAAGCTCATAGTTCAGGCAATCACCTTTTACAAATATGCTATGCAGGATGGATGGTGGTACATTATCCGGAAATGGTAAGCCTGCATTCATAGGCAAAAGCTTATGGTTACTAATTAATCGGTTCCGTAAGCATCCGACATGTTCGAGACTCGAATCCGAAGTACTTACTCTTGGCGAGTTCCACAAGCTCTTCCTCCGGGACGTGAATCTTCCTGAAACTCCTACCTGTTTTGTTCTCCCACAAGGAAATCAGTCCCATCTGGGACAAAATGTTCATAGGCATCCGGTAGATCACAATTCGGTTGCATGTTCTTGGGTCATTTGCTACTTTGATTGTGTTACTCCGCTGTATCTTCTTCGTAATTGAACAGAACTGCAAGAAACGATGCAAAACACATGTATGTGTGTACCATTAGATGAAACCTTGATGAAGTTTAAAAGCTCAAATTACGTACCCTTGGCATCACCGGACCCGTAGACGATCATGTCACCGTGTTCTTCGTGTGGACGGAGCAAGTGATTCACGAAGTATGCACCGAAACAATTTGCAGACACGTAAGTGTGGGGTATCCCACATGCTTCCACTGCCCTTCGGATCTTTCGCTTCTTGTCCAGACAAGCTTCGAACGGCGGCAGGAAGCTCAGTCGGTCCTCTTCGACCCCGAATTCCGATGGAATGAACCTCTACACACATTCCAAATATATATAGATATATACATAAAACAAACTTGACCAACTTCAGTGATATGAAGAATGTTTTTAACCTACCTTTATGTTACCTGCAACTTTAATGGCTTCAACGATATGAATCTGGTCAGGAACCTGAGGGAATGGTAACGTTGAGATCACTATATCGACTTGACGAAGTGTTGCCACGATCTTTTCATGTTCATCCAGCTCTCCCTGTTCCAAGATATGCTTATCAAACGTGCATACATGCATACGCACATACATACGTATGTACATCACTACAGCAAAATTGTTCTGTAGCGGCGCTTTTAGCGGCGTTTGGAAAGTAAACGCCGCAAAATTTAAACATATAGCGGCGTTTACAATCCAAACGCCACAAAATGATACTTTAGCGGCGTTTCTTAAACAAACGCCGCTATAGAGTAGTACTATAGCGGCATTTTTATATAAACGCCGCAATAGGTACATATGTAATGACGTTTTTCAACAAACGCCACAACAGAGTAGTACTTTAGCGGCGTTTTTATACAAACTCTGCAATAGGTCCATCTATAGTGGCATTTTTTTCTGACAAACGCCGCAAAAGATTTGTACTTTAGCGGTGTTTTTATAAAAATGCCACAATAGAGTTCTCCTATAGTGGCTTTTTTTCTAATAAACGCTGCAACATATTAGAACTTTAGTGGCGTTTTTACACAAACGCCGCAAAAAATATGTACTTTAGCGGCGTTTTCTTAAAAACGCCGCTATAAAATGATAAAAGGTGGCATTTGTGTCAACAAACGCCGTAATATATTTGATAATTTTAATTGTTCAAATCCCTTTCCCATTTTCCATCTGTTCCCACGATCCCCTTTTCCTATCAAATTAGAATCCTTTCTCAAGACTCGTTTTGTTTGTCCGCCGCTGCAAATGAGCAGCACGGAAGAAGAAACCACAAGCACAGCCAAACCCATCCCTCTATACGACGCCGCTTTACCAACCAAACCTCTCCTCTTCAAACCCACCACCAGCTCCACCTACCCATCTCCTCCAATCGAAGAACCACCTCAACCCGACCCTTCCGAATCCGACCCAACCCAGTTCATCCAGATCTCTTTCAATTACGGACCCAGACCTTTCAAAGACCTCCCTTTTCTCTTCCTCTTCCTTCTCTCGGTACTCTGCACTTTTGCTTTCGGTATTTTCTCAATCTTCCATCGAAACGACAGCTACTCCAACGTTTCGACCTTCACCTACGATTCCAATTCCACTTCTTGCGTTCAGGGCACTTCTTTTTCATCAAAATCAGTATGGGTTTTTGAAAGTTCTATTTTTTTGTTGTCAAGTTCGAGTCTTTGGACATATGTAGCATGGACCTTTGTCATAACTTTAGTTCTAAGTGTACCCATTTGTTTCCTTTTGCTTTTGTTACTCAAACACTACACCAAGCAGATAGTTTATGTTTTGCTTCCTTTCTTTGTAATTGTGCCGACTTTCTTTGATGTTTATTGGTTCGTTGCTTGTACCTTGAGCTCTTCTTGTAGCGACACTTTCCCTTTGGTCTATAGAATTTTGGTGCTTGTTTTTGTTTTACTTGGAGTTGGGGTTATTGTTTGGATCGTCGTGGCTAATTGGCATCGAATCGAGTTGACCGTGAGGATTATCGGGGTTGCTTCCGATTCGCTTTCGAGGAACTTAGGATTGTTCTTGGTGATACCGTTGTTGACCGCTGGATTGTTAGTTTATTATGCCCCAATTGTTGTGTTCTTGGTGTTTTCAACGTTTAATGGGAAAATTGTAGCTAAAGAATCGAATGGGGAGTATACTTGTGTTTGGAAACAAGATAGCTGGGTGCCGGCTTATTTTACATTGTCGATATTGACAATGTTGTGGTCCTTGACAACAATGGTGGAAGCTCAGGTTTATGTTATCAGTGGCACAATTGCTCAATGGTACTTCTCGAAGGATGAAGAGAAACCTCACCGTAGTATAAGACGATCTTTGAGGTAACATCCTACTGTTTTTCAGCTTTTTCATGATCTATGATTTTTAATGTATTAATATAGACGGTTTGAAATATATTGTGTTTTTGATAGGATGCAGCATGCTTACATCATGAGTACCAGATTGTGTTGATTAGTTATCAAAGATAATAGTGATCCTATGGGATTATAGGTTGGTAACATTGATTTTAGTATGTTTTTGGCTGCATGATGGATTCAAGTATAGTGTTTGTTCTTGAGTATGGAAGATCACTGTAGTGGCCATTCGCTTTGGTTTGGATTTATAGATTCAATTTGACATTGTTTTTTATTTGCTTGAATGGACTGAAGAATGCATTAATGATCTGGTGCCTAACAACTCTTCTAGAGTATGTTCCTCTCAGGTGGTGTTTCTCTGGTGCCATGAAAAGGGGGCTACTTCTCTAGTTTATTTGCTCAAGTTGCCATGTTGAATACAGCATGTTAATTTCTTTTCTAGAAACATTGAATTCTTTTGGGTCCTTTTCGATTGAGATTAGGCAGTCTTTTAGCTTCGTGTCCACTAGGCATAACACTATTCTTAGTGTCGGTAAGGTGGTTTCTGAAGGATATCTTAATGAAATATCTACAACATCGAGAATCAAGCTGGACATACTTTCAAGGCATCACCCATGTCTGCTTATTTTTAAACAGCTAGATTTAACCTTTCTAACCCTTTGGTTCTAAACACTTGCAAAAATGCATTTGGTCCTTCTTCTGGCACTGTCTGTCTATCTGGACTACTTATCTGTGTCGTTCGAGTGGTGTGTGTTGCTGTTGATAGCGCGAGAGAATAAGATGTTCCCGGGATAGTGAATCTTGTCCTCCGGTGTAGTGTTAATGCCCTAATGTCTGCGATAGAGTTTCTTAACAAGTTCACCATCAACTTCGCCTCAATAACTGGTGAGGCATATTGCACATCTGCGAGGATGACGTATGAGCTTCTAAGACGTAACCTGCTCTCTGCTGTTTTTTTGGAGACTATATCAACTCGTTTGTTAGCAGGACTTATTTTTTTCTTCTCGGCAGTTTACGCAATTGTGGTGAGTCTTCAATAAACTTCCTTGTTATCCTTCATCCTCTCATTTCCACGAATTACGTGATAACCGAATACATATAATGCAGGTATGTGCTATCGTAAAGGGTGTTAGTGATCTAGGGGATAATACATATAATGCTTTATTAGAAGGGATAACTCAAGTTCAACATTTCGATTGTAAATGGGTCTCAGTCACGTAATTTTTTCTTCTTGAAAATGTGTTTTTTTATTCTTTAAATTATCGGTTTTAACCTGGTAATTTGTTCATAAGTGATATTTATTTGTATGTTACGAAATATCCAAAAAAACATGAAAATACAGAAGGCACTATGGGTCTGGAGCTTGATTGTGGACAATATAACATCTTTATTGTGTGTATCATGGTCATTCTCTATATCTTGTTTGCCTATAATGTCTGCAAACTGGTAAGTATTTATTACAGAGTTTCGATTTATTCCTTTTATTTTTCTCCTCTATTTGTATGTCTCAACGTTCTTAATTATCATATTCGGATGTCAAATTGGATCAATCGTCACTGATATCTTTGCTTACGTTTATTTTGCCAGTAAATCCTAGTTTGTTTATTTAACGGCATTTGCTTTAGCTTATTCTGTGAACCTGGTGGCTAATTTTCTTGAATTCCTCGAAAATTCGATGTAATTGTTTACTGGAGAAAAGCTAATTTAAATTATTTCTGATTATAGTACATTTTATTCTTGTTCGAGTGAATTTTGATTTGTAAAATTGAAGGAATGATATTTACTTGCTGAGTGTGTGAAATTTGTCCTAGATTTGATTGAAATTATCTACATAAGAGGTTTAAATCTGATATTTTATTCTTGTTTGAGTGAATTTTGATTCGTAGGATGATGATGGAGGAACTGTAAGTGATGACATTGAGAATCCAAGAGGCACAGGGTTTCCAGGGGTTGGTATGTTTTGGTTAAAAGTGCTTGTTTGATTGCTATGCAATTTCAATTGTACAAAATTTCATCCTTTGTTTTACTCAATTCTGTTATGATTTCCATTGATATACAGCTTCCGTAAGAATGTTCCTCCAAGGGAACAAGCCAAGTGGAAACGCAAGTAAGATCAACTTACATGATTTGTTTTTCTTTTACTAATATTAGCTTTAAAAAAAACTGAGAAAGATAAAAAGTTGATGGTTTTTCCCACCTTGATTAGGACAATTGTTACACTTGCATTGACTTTTCTTACAAGTTCACAAGCAATACTTATTGTCTGGTCGAAGATAGCTGGGAAGTATGAGTATAATGTTACCACAGCGGACTTTATGGTGAGTAGAATAGTCATCTTGTGTTATGACTTGACATGGTGCCAATGGGATTGACCTTATACTGTTATTTCGGGAAACAGGTGGAGACTTTGAAATGTGCCTTGTCACTTGCAGCGTTGGCAAGAATATGGAAAAGTGAAGGTGTTACAGATGATAACAGGTAAATCTTACTTGCGATTGCTTATGTCTAATTTTTTCTATTAACATGGAGATGATGAACATACATTTTTCCTTTATTATTGAACCAGGTTGAGTACAACCCTCGATGAGTTGTCATATTTCCATCTTTATATCTTTCTGTTTGTTAGGAATGTAGTTTTGGAGCCTTTTTCTGGGTGCTATTGATTTAAAATATGTTTGGTCTGATAAGCTGTTAGAAGTTATCATGAAATTCAAGCTTGGATGTTTCTGCACAATTATTAAAATCTATCTCTATATTTTTGCTTATCATCATGATGGTTGCCCATGCCATAGAGTTGTTGACTGCTGGGACTGACTATGCAGAAATGTGTTGTTAACTTTTTTAACGTAAGATATAATGGATTTTCATATAAACTGATGATTTATTTGGATATGAAACTAGAGATCGGGTTTGCATTGACATGGATGGGGCCTTTTCAAGTGGTATGCCAATTGGAGTAATACCTCATGAAGCAAAATATTTGTGCAAGAAATGACAGGACGATACTAGCTCTGTATCATTGTTTTCCCATATAAACTGGATTTATCTCTTTGAATTTAAGCGCCTCATTGTGACGAAAAGTTTTGAAGAATGTGTAAGATTAGAAGCAAAAATATCTTAGATATTATTGTTTATTATAGTTAATAATGTTGAACTACATTATATTTTACGTTAATGTAAACTTTGATTTATTATTATGGATTTCATTTTTCTTGTTATGGATTTTAAGTTTGTTGTTATGGATGTCAAGTTTATTGGAAAATGCTACAGGTTAAATTTGGGTAATAAAAGAGTAGAAAACAACATTTGACAAATTAGTTTTAATTTGCAAAATCAATTTCTTTTAGCTATAGAGAGGTAATTAGCGGCGTTTGTATCTTAAAACGCCGCTATAGATATGACATTTTGCGGCGTTTGTTCTAAAAAAAACCGCTATATACCAGATCTTTTGCGGTGTTTGTGGGAAAAACGTCGCTAAATCTCAAGACCTATTGCGGCGTTTGTGGAAAAAACGCCGCTAAATCTCAACACTTATTGCGGCGTTTGTGGGAAAAACGCCGCTAAATATCAACACCTATTGCGGTGTTTGTTGGACAAACGCCGCTAAATATCAACACCTATTGCGGCTTTTGTTGGACAAACGCCGCTATATATCGTTACCTATTGCGGCGTTTTTTGTTACCAAACGCCGCGAACTTTGGCGACGCTATTTTCAGTGGCGCTTTTTGCGGCGTTTGTCATAGCGCCGCAGGTGTTTTTTGCGACGCTTAAAAACCCCGCTATAGGTATAAAAAAACGTCGCAAATGTACAGTTTTGCTGTAGTGCATACATACATACATACCTCGATGACAGTAACACCGAGGGATCGAAATTCATTGTGCAAGTCGTTCTTGTGGGGCGAGGATTGTGGGGTGATGGGGCGGGCGTACACGAATGTTCGATGTCCTAACTTGATGCTTGCCTTCACCATGTATGTTCCCAAGTAGCCAGTTCCACCAAATACAAGGATTTTGCTCTTGGATTCTTCACCACCACCACTGGCTTGCTTATCCATGTTTCTTGTGATCCACTCATCCTCTTGCTGTGGCCATATTTGTACTCTTATACCTAAGCTTTCTTTCTTGTGGTCCATGGTATCACATGTGCAAAATGTGCAAAATGTGGTGATTTTGATTCAAATGAAGGAAATGTACAAATATGTCACGTCAGAGCAACCTCGTGACTTCATGTAAGAACGGTAGCTGATGTTATAATTTTGATGTGTCCACCTACTAACGTGTGAGGAATCGTTTTCTCCCTTGTTTGTTTCTCGAGAAAACTGGGGAAAAAGTGTTGAAAGTCAAAACTTTCGGTGCATTAATGGTCCTATTTTGCTGCAGAGTGAATTTTCAAGATTCACGGCTGATTCGGTTGTCCAATTTGTTTTCATGTTTTCAGTAGCAATAGAACTTTGTGGAACTTTTATTTTTGGTTTATTTTGATCTCAATTCATGATTTCTGTCCAAAGTTTTTGATGTTTATAACTGGTTCGGAGATGAGTGATTGGAGATGCAAAGATGTAAGAGTTTCATGTTTTCATGGAGAAAATGCATGAAGAAGAGAAGTTACTGCTTTACTTGAAGTTTCTTGTCGTCACGGGTGTTTCGAATTTAACTCGGGGTAAATGAACTGCATTTTCAGATTCAGAAGTTCAAAAGTAAGGTGCCGAGATAAATTCCTTATCCGTGTGCTTGAATGACTTGCTTAAAGACTGTTTGATGATGAGGATTCTAAAGCCGACAGTGAACGACAGGGTCATGTATCATGCATCGATTCGGAAAATGTTGAAAGGTATTATATACTCTTCGGCACCGAATCTCATGTGTCACAGATTATGTTTTTCTAATGGTTAGAGTAAATTCTCCGTTCTTGCAGGCTTAGTGAGAAGACCTTCCCTAATGGAGATGTCTATGTTGGTGATTTTAAGGAAATTATTCCGCACGGGAAGGGAAAGTATACATGGTCCAATGGAACAGTATATGAGGGTGATTGGGAAGCCGGGAAAATGACGGGCAAAGGAACGCTACTTTGGCCTACAGTGATGATATCTCAGGGGGTTACCTTCATGGTTCTGGCGCTTTTACAGCATCTGATGGATTTATTTACGAAGGGCAGTGGAGGATGAATATACGACATGGATTTGGAAGGAAGAAGTATTCGAATTCAGATATTTATGAAGGAGAATGGAAGGAAGGAGTTCATGAAGTTAAGGGTGCATATTTTTGGAACGACGGTAACAAATATACTGGGAATTGGAAACGTGGAAAGATGCACGGTAGAGGTGTTATGGACTGGGTAAATGGTGATCAGTACAATGGTTGTTGGAGTAATGGCTTCCGACATAGGATATTATTTTGGAACATGGACCAGGGGCCTTAAGGATGGAAAAGGAGTATTCTATCCCGCCGGAAGTAGACGCCCCTCTCTAAAGAAGTATGTCTCTGGGATATGATAATGGAAATAAAAGTGTGTTATCACAATGTTCATCGCTACATTTGGAGAACCATATGGTCAAGAAACCGTGTGTATTTGTTGCATTATGTTCAGGTATCTAAGGGAGTTGTTCAAGCTAGATGCAGCAGAGTACATGATGCCCATTTGCGGTGATGATGGCCTGACGGAGATTTCTTCTCCCGGAAAAAGTGGCAGTCTTTTCTATCTATCTCACGATGATAAATTCGTATCTGCTCAGTTGTACTTGTGTTTACAAATCTCGATCGTGTTCATCAAATTTCTATCGATTTAAACGTTGTTGGGGAAGGAAACCTTAGCAGCTGCTTGATTTCAAGCAGGATCCGCGTTTTCTTAATGTAGGCCAATGTATACCCTTAGACCATGAAGGATGTCCTCTATGTTACACAAGGATCTTGATTTGTCATGAGTTTCTTATGGACAAATCATTGCGGAAATTCCTTTTTCTGTAAGTTCCTCATCTAGTAAATTGCAAACAAGCTTTAAGAAGGATGTTAAGCTCCAACCATAGCCCTATATGGTAACCCTTTTGGTAATATGTTCGGAATTTCAAGGTTCAAAGCTAAACAGCAGTGGCCGGTGTTCTGCATGTAGTTTACCATTCGGTGGTTGTTTTTAATGATCAACGTTCTTTTTGCTCGTGTTGCAGACAAATTACAGTTGACAGCGCATTCTTGAAATCCCAACAGATAATTGATTACAGCCTTCTTTTGGGATTACATTTTAGAGCTCCTGAGCAACTCAATGGCCTTGTAGAACCTCCCAACATGATGCTTAGCATGGAGAACTCTCTTCCCGGCCAAGGTAGGTGTCTCGTTCTCATTTGTTCATTTCATGGAATTGATATGGCTTGGCTACACCATAGAGTAAAATAACTTTCGAGTCGGATTAGAATGAAATGTTGCAGTCTTGGCATGAGAACTTACATGATACTAGACTTCGACTCTCCCGGATGCGTTTGATTATTATTGGCAATTTTGTTGTTCTGATATATGGGTGTGAATGACTTAGAAAATTAGAATACCAAGGACAAGGATATGCAGGTGATATGATATACAACCATGACCAGTAAACTTGTTGAAGAGTGAGAGGAGACATGATAATACAAGAACGTTGAACTATTGGAATGACTTCTATATTTCATTTCCGTGGTTATTTTCCGATGTTGGATTCCTTTTCTTTCGTATTATTAATCTCTTTAATGGCACGCACCTTATGCTCTGCTTTCACTAGGTGTAACTCTAGATGGTGAAGTGCTATTTCCTTCAAAAGGTTTGGTGTTGCTGGCTCATGAACCCAGCTCCGTTAACACCGATCCAGGTCCTCATATCAGAGGAAGAGCATTAAGAGCATTCTCTTTGGGAGACAAGGAAGTTGATGTTTTGGTGCCAGGGACCGGAAGGTAGCCGCTTTCATTCTCATTCATTTTGCACATTGGTGCATAGCCTGATTGTACTGTTTCTCTAGAAGGTTTTCATATTTTCCAGTCGATTTTATTCGGTTTACGACCGCTTTTTAACTCAGGTTACGGGTGCAATTAGGAGTAAACATGCCAGCACAGGCTACTCGGAAGCTTTCCCGAGATGAGTCCGATTCGGCAGAAGTTGTACTTTTTGAGGTATATGATGTGGTTCTCTATATGGGAATAATTGATATTTTACAGGAATACAATGCAAAGAAAAAGGCAGAGCATGCATGCAAATCGGTGAAATTCGACCCCACGTCGATATCTGTCGTGGAAACCGAGCTGTATGCTAAACGGTTCACCGATTTCTTGGAACAAAAAGTTTTCCCTGAACAACCATGAATACAAGTTGTGTACATTCATCTCTTGTTGCCATTGCTTCTTCATTCCTTTCTCTACTTTTTGTCCTTCTGACAATTCTTTTTCCACTTGTAAAATGATCGTTTTCTGCACCAGTTGTACTGCCATGGTAGAGTTCTTAGTAAATGAGTTCACATTTTCATCCCTTTTAACGTGTCATATACATGTATACGTATTGTATGCATGCATATTGTTATATATATATACATAGGACCACATGTATATATGTATTCATTTCTTTTTCTTTCATTCATTTCTAGTAGAATATTAGAATTTGGCTATGATCATGAAATTGAATCAAGAGAAATAGAATAATATTAATATTTTAAGGAACAAAGCATGTTTTGCATTCAATATTTGATGAACATAATAACCCTAATTAAATCGTAATTTAACAAACCAAACCAAAAAAGCACAAAATGGCAGATCTTCCATTTGAACCAGTCTCAGAGCTTCCTTCTTATCAAGCTGAGTGGCACTGGCAAAATGCGAATTAAGCCCCAAGCTACGAGTTTGAACCCCCAAGCCAGCAACTTCGATTCGATCATTTTGAACCAAGAGCGAAAGACAACTTCGGATGCAATTTGTTTTTTCCCAGTAATTTCATTTGATTTAAACGTTCCTCCTCTTCCTGCTGCTTCTTCCTCTTCATAGCCTCTTCCTTTTGTCTTTGAAGCCCCTCTAATTCCCAATATCTTTCCTCCTCCCTCTTCTGCTGTTCCAGTGCCTCTCTTCTCTGAGCTTCTTCCACCCTCTTCCGGTTCTCTTCGAGCATCTTTTCTAACTCCTCTTTCTCTTTTCGAGATTGTTCCTGCAAACAAAATCAGCCAAGATTGATCATGAAATGGCAGGACATAAAGTCGCAACTATAAGCCAGAAAGAGAAAAATCGATGAACACATCAACATGTATAATTAAATTGAAACAATCAACAGGCGATAAATCACATGATTTTGTCTTCGGATATTTACCTCCTTTTGCTTAGCCTCAAGAAGGGCCGCTCCCTTCTCTCTTCCAAGTTGAGCAGCAACTTCGTGGTTAAGACTTCTCCGTCCCTCCTCTAATCGCTTCTGAATTTCCTGCTTGATTGCCTCAGAGTTCAAGTACTCTTCGACTTTTTTCTGAATTGCTTCTTCCACTCTCTTCGCAGTCTCTTCTTCTATGAGTTTTAATTCTGTTTCTTGTTGACGCCTGTAAAACAAGAGAAATGTCAAGCAGGAAAATGGAACATGCATTCGGGGAAATATACAGAAACCTTTCATTACAGGTATCTTTCCAAACCAGACAACAGTACAAAAACAGCTGACATGTCATGTTCGCTTCAATTTTTGTTCTTTCTTTCTTTCTTGATCTCACCATCTTTCTGTGTAACTATAATAAATGGGAAAACAAACCTTCATGAAGACAAAGGCACTATATTATGCTATGCTTTTAAGGCATACCTCTAATCAAACCTGATCCAAACAAAAGAGGTACAAAATTGATGAACAGTAGGGAAATGTGCATTCAATCAGATCATCAAATATAACAAAGTTGAAATATAGCAGTATCTTCCTTCAGAAAATCCTGTGGAGAAGAATAGAAAGTAATTTGCCGCAGATTTATAACTAATCACCGTAATACTCCAAACCTTGCATCAAAATACATTTTTTGATGAGAGAGTTTATATCCTTCTATAAGATCATCCTTTTTTAAAGGATAGTGAATAATATTCAACTTAAAACATTTAATCAGAATGGCTCACTGTAAAATGCACTACAATTAGGAAGGTAAAGAAAAGGGGTTTCTGTACATGCAACTAATGTTCTTTGCCCATCAAGAATGAAATTTAAGACCAGGAAAATAATTCAGATTTTTGCAAGCATAACAACCCACATGAGAACTTTACTTTCATGTCTCCCATATGATTTGTGGTTATGTCGTCGTAGTAAACCAAATATCATATTGTTGTGACAAAAATTATACAATAATATATCAGCTCCAACCAGTGTCATGACTCCAAAGCACAGGCGAATGAGACCCAAATATTAATAAAATAAATAAATATTGAACATGTAGCAAAAGTTTAGAAAATTGCAATAAAAGTAGAGTGAATTCAATTCAAGAAGATCTAAAAGAACAGTGGAAAGAAAAATTAAAATAGCCTGCACAAATTCGATATACCTTTTCCTCTCCTCTTCTTTTTTCAGTTTCTCACTAGCATTTTTGTGGTCTATTGACCCAAGGTTTGGGTTAGATGATTTATGAGTAGGATACAATGAAGAACTCCTACTTCTTTGCCTCTTATAACGCATTGGAGTCGAAGAACGACTTTTATGGCGTCTTGCAGTTGGAGAACGGCTTTTGTAGTGCCGCGGACTAATGGAACGACTCTTTCTTCTGTACAGCAACACAAATTACTGAGCAACAGAAACAGAATTGGGACATACTAGCTAAAAAACTAAGAATGAGTAAAGCTCCCCATCTAGCAGAATAAATATAAAAGCATATACAGTTACCTCATACATTGTTAAGATAAGCATTGAGCTCCATCATTTATCACATGAAGAAGATATGGTTACATTCAAGCCACAAAAGGAACCCATCTGCACCCATCACCTGCTCACTTCCCATGTCAAGTGATGGGAGGAAACTTTGTCTTTAATGTTTTAATGAAGAGCATGCTTCCTATCACTTTCATAGACTTCTCTATACATTGCTCCAAGTGTTTTTGTAATTAGCATATTTGACATTTCCATTTTCCCAATCAAAATGAACATTCCTCGCATGTTAAATGCTCACTGAGATGTCGATTAACTCATAGAAGATATTGAATAATACACCATCAAACTTTATTGGAATAATTTCAGCTGCAAGTGGTCATTAACTCAAATCTATAATGTTGAAGGTACTCAAGAAAGTCAGGCAGTGATGCCTTCTGAACAGAAAAGTGCCAGACACATAACAAAACATAGACAACCAAAAGATTAAACTGCAATGTGAATGACACTGAAAACACCAGTCTAACAAATGCCAACAGCACACCCTCAACTGCAGGCTGCAGCAGCACTTTCCATTTGGTGCATTCAAAAATCTAATTGCCACTCCATATCAAATTCTTGTCTGGGTTCCAATTCTAGAAAAGCAACCATAATTGTAAACAGAAAGCAAGCTACATAGTCTTTCCAGTAAATCCGAAGGAGCACCAAAAGATGTACAAATAAGTAGCTTACAAAAACTTGAAGAATTTGTAATTCCAACCCGAAAACAAATTCCAGAGTTCCAACCTTTCTTACAAAATTCCTTACAGCAGCATCTTGTATGTTAACAAATCAACATAAACAGAATGAGTATAAACGGGATCACCTGCTATAAGAATACGGTGACCGGCTTCCATCCCTCCTGCTCCTCCTCCCATGCCTATGCCTTACGGGAGATGGAGAATGTCTATGCCTATATGAAGGCGAGCGAGACCGTGATCTTGACAAATCTCGAGGCATCTGCTATCAGTTAATCGCCTCAACGTTATGAAGTATCTGTTCACGCAAAATCACAATTAATATACAAACGTTTCTCCTGCAAAATTAAAATACTTCTAGCCAAGTCAATGAAACTAAAAAATAAAAGAATCAACTTGGATTCATCATCCTTAATCAAATTGACCTGAAAATCCAATATGGCTGATCGGAAAAATAAAATTATCAGCTTAACAGAAAAAGATTTCGGTTTTCGTCATTCCCTTCTCGTTCTCCCAAAAATTCACGAATTTTCTAGCTAAAAAAACAAAAACAAAAGAAATCAGATAAATTTAATGCAATAGAAGAAACCCTAGAGCAGGCCAACATGCGGACGAACACCGAAAATCTTAAGAATCCGCGCTTTACATGAAATTCACATTGAATAATAATAATAACTACAACATGTATAGCAAATCAGCACCGAGCCCTAAATTGGAGAAATAACGCAAATAACATGCACGAAAAGTAAAATTCGAGAGCAAATTTGTTGAAAAATTATATGATATTCCTTGGGCGAATTGTTCGAATGAAATTCAGTACCAGTAATTTAGTTGAATTTGATGAAATTGTCTCAATCTAAGTTCAGATCGGAGAAGTTCTGCATTTGCTAAGGATATAGCATTTAGTTTAGTTGAAAAGATATAATGTGTAAAGTATACCATACATCATTAAATTAAGCTTAAATAAATTTTTATTATTAAACTTTTAAAAATTATAAAATAATCAATAAATTCATCAAAATATAACAATATAACATCACGACGGCAAAACTTTCGAGATAATGTTCTGGAAAAAATTAATTCACGAGATAAAACACTCCCAAGATTAATTGTTCAAATAAGGTGAAATCCACAGTGTTGGTCGTAGGTCGCCATGCCTTCCGGGCGACCTATTAGGTCGCCATGTCTTCCCGGCGAGCTACAAGAGATTGTATGTGCCATGCACGTCCCAACACGCTGGGCATCCGACCGAGGCCATCCGAGAGCATCCGAGGTCATCCGACCGAGGCCATCCGAACGAGCTATGCGAGGGCAACCGAGCGAGCTATGCGAGGGAATCCGAGGGAAGCCGAGCGAGGGTAGGTCGCCCGGAGTGCATGGCGACCTACAAGGTCGCCCGGAGGGCATGGCGACCTACAAGGTCACCCGGAGGGCATGGCGACCTATGTGTTGGGACGTGCATGTGCCATGCAACACGTTCATTCTCTCTGTTTGAGCAAGGTTAGGTCGCCCGGAGTGCATGGCGACCTACGGCCAACACTGTGGATTTCACCCTATTTGAGCAATTAATCTTGGGAGTGCATTAGCTCGTGAATTAATTTCTTTCAGAATATTATCTCGAAAGTTTTGCCCATCACAACATTACAAAATAATTATTAAATTATTATAAAATAATTATTAAAATTATCAAATATTATTATCATAACTAAGTATGGGTTTTTTGACCTAAAAATCACTCTATGAATTAAATATTACTTGTCAGTCACCGTTTTCAAAATATTGCCCGATCTAACACCCATTTTTAAGAGAGAGAAAGAGACGAACGTGACCAAACGCGCCTTACCCAAAAAGGAGGAAAGGTGCGTGCCATGAAACGCGCCTTTTCGATCACGACGATTTTTGGTTTGTTTATGATAGTTTTAGGTTTAGGGTTTGTGTTATAATATGTTTAGGATTTTATAATTGGTTTTAGTATTTTTAGGGTTTTAAGGTTTAGGGTTTAAGCATAGGGAAGCGTGTCCTATAATACAAAAATTTATTTCATATAAATACATAATACAAAATAAAATAAAAGTCAAATACATAATCAAGAAACAATAAATGAAAAGATTATAGTTTTATTAGATTTATTGAGATTACAATTTTATTAGATCTATCGATGTCTCCTTTAATGTGTTCCGCAATATGCTAGTCATCTAGTTCGAGGAGGGTTTATTCTTATATGCTCCTCCTCCTCTTCACTCTCATCATCATCGTCGTCGTCATCATCCTCATCCTCATCCTCGTCATCGTCTTCCTCATCATCGTCATCACTCTCAACAACATTATCTCGATAAGGGTGGAATGGCGATGTATGACCTCTATAGAATAAGGACCTTGAAGGTGTTTGCTTGACCATCCCACCACTCGCTGAGTACCGCGAAAACTGTGAAAAATCAGACATCGGTGTTTACGACACATACTGCAGGTGAGGTGTTTGTGGCGGAAGACCACCCGCAAGATAATTCGCGTAGGAACTAAATGTTGGATCTGTAAGCATAGTCGAAAAATATCCACCAGTGGGCGTCATAAAACCCTACGGGCTCTGTGCGTAGCCATGCAGTGGTGGCATATAAACCGACAGATGTGGCATCTTAACCGGTTACGGGGGCATCTGAAAGTGAGGTAGTGTCCCCATGTAAGTTGGAGGGTTAGAGATGTAAACCTATGTCTCTAGTTGCCAGGCCCGGCCCTGAGGGTAGGCGAGAAGGGCGACCGCCTAGGGCCCACGTTTAGAGGGGGCCCATTCTTAAAAAATATTTTTAAATTTAATAATTAAAAAAATTAATTTTTAGACTAAATCGCAAATCCCAAATTTTTTGAGGGGCCTAAGTTTAATATAACACCATTTTTTTTATTGAGCACTACTAAAACTACCCGATATTACTAAATCTACCATATGTGGGGCCCTACTTATCTTTATAATATAATACCGTTGGTTTATGTTATGTGGATTTGATAATATGTATGCATATTATACTATAAATACTTGGGCCCCTAAAAAAACACACTTTTTATAATATAATATTGTTTTTATCCCTAAAGTCATGCATATTATAAATACTTGCCCCAACTTGTCTTTATAATATAATATCGTTGGTTTATGTAATGTGGGTTTAGTAATATGCATGCATATTATAAAAAAAGTGTCTAAATATATCAATAAATTTATTAAACACACGATTTTTTTTATTTTTTTAATAAAGTTTTCTTTCTTTAATAGTTAGTGGGTTTTTATTTAATGGGTAGCGGATTTTTAGTGGATGATTATTTAATAGGTAATGAGTTTTTAGGTTAGGTAATAATTAATAAAGGAATATTAATATTAATATTAATAATAAAAATACTAATAATAATATTTAAAATATTTTTTTCAGCCCGGACAAAAACGAGTGTCTACAATTGCCCCTCTTTACACATTCTTGTGTTAACAAGGATAAGACAAAGAAGAAAAAGATAACTAATTTTTGTCCGATAAATGAAACATGTGACATAAACAAATATTCTTGTGTTAATAAAGATATGACAAAGACGAAAAAGACAAACAATTTTTGTCCGATAAATGAAACATGTGACATAAACAAAAATATATCTGATAAAAAAATATATCCGATAAATTTTACTTTTTAATAAATAAATTAGAATGAAAGTTATTTCGATAATTAATGTTTTTGAATAAATTAGATAAATAAAAGAGAATTAGTATTGGGGTAGTGTTGAAAAAGATGACGAGAAGATAAGTAAAGCCTAATTCCCTTCCCAATCAATTCCCTTCCCAATCATTGAAAATGGGGTCCACACATGATATGTTTAGTAATACTCCCCACACTTGGTATGTTTAGGCCATCTCTAATCATAATCCATACTCTAGTGCATCTCTATCTCTACTCTAGACATTAAACAATAATTAATCTCCAGCGCTATTTCTGCATTACCATTAACTCTACTTTATTCACAATATTTAACTATTATAATATTAATTTTACAAATATAAAAAATCCAAAAAATTCAAAAAAATCCAAAAAATTACAAAAAAAAAATAATATGATTATTTATCTAATTTAAATATAATTTTATCTATCTTATAATTTAATATATTTTAACTAAAAAAACAAAATCTAACGCGAGCTACAGTACCGCGCTAGATGTGGCGCGGTACTGTAGCAAATCTGCACAGTGGCGATGGAACTGGCACAGGGCTGGAGCACGCTACAGTGGAAATATCTCCACTGTAGCACAGCGTTGGAGATGTCCTTAGTAATATGCGGTAGCTTTAGTAGTGCCAATTATAAATACTTGAGCAGATATCCATGCTCCACTATACACTAGGGGCCTAAATTATTTTTTTAAGGGTCATTATCTTTTATTTTACCTAGGGCCCCTAAAATATAAGGACCGACCCTGCTAGTTGCTGGTGTGATGGTTCCGGTGATATAGCTAAGTACAACCCGAAAGTATCTGCTCTTCATCCAATAGTGGGTGATGATGATGTTGTGACGTCGAACGTTTTTAACATCGATGATGTATTTGCCTCTTTTTGCTTCCTCTGAAATTAAGAATGACTTCATGTTTGCATTGAACCATTCAATATAGCCATGTGAAATCATGCAACCAATTTCTGATATATATTGTCTATGGGGCAAGCGTTGATGTCGGTTCTCCCACATCGCCAACCAGCCTCTATGCTTCACCAATCAATTGTCACTTAACCGAGAAATTTAACGATGGTTATGTCCCAGACACTTAAAGTGATAATATTTGTAACATTAGGTACCTGGATGTTTTAAAAAAAATTATACACCTATTTGAGAAAAGTGATATAATTTAGATATTTATTTTATAATAAAGCCTTTAATATATTGGAATCCATAAACAAATCGCACTCCTCTAGCCAGATGTAATTGCAGCGTAGGAAATGTCCAAATAAGGAAATGGGGGACGAACTCCTTTTGCCCCGCATCAAACGCGGCCAGTTGCTTTGGAAATCATCTTACGGCCAGTCGTTTTGGAAATCATCTTACGGCCAGTCAGCACCAGTGGCGAATGTATATTGTCGTTAGAATGAGTCAGTGTCTATCTTAAAATTTTTAAAATTTAAATTTGATTGTATTAATTCAAATATAAAAATTTTATATTAAATTTTTTTATATTAATATATATATATATATATATACACGTTTATCTTAACAAAATTTTTATATTAATATATATATATACACGTTAAGTGACATGTGTCACAATCTGGTAAATTTAAAATTTTTATTTAAAACTAAAAATTAAAACTATATATATTTTAAAAAAGAAAACATAAATTTTGAAATAAACTCAAAACTTTGAAAATCTTCATTTCAACCCCTAAACCTACGCCGCCTATCGTCTTTTGTCGTCGACAAAGCTCCACTCGATCTCTCCTCCCCTAGCAACCAAAACCCATATGAAATCGTGATCAATCGATGTTTTATATCATGCGAACCCTAGGTTGAAAATCGTGATCCCACGCGGTTCCGACGACCAATCGACGATAACTACTATGTCATATGACTAGAGGATGGCAAAGAATACGTCGACGGTAGTGATCGTGACCAAAAAGGGTGGTGGCAGGGGTTAAGTATTTGAGGAATTGAGGAACAACCAACGTTGAAGAACACCTCTCCCGCAAGCTTACACTATTGATGAAGCATGTTCTACACGTAAAAACCACATAAAATTCTAAAGAACAAAACATATTATTAATATTTTAAAATTTATAAGAGTGATTGTCCCTAGTCATCCCCTCGATCAATTTTTATATATATATGGTTCTTGTTATACTCGTTACAATCGTAATTGTTGATGTGAACAATATCACATTGAGATAATAACGGTCCTAAGCGGTTTACCTCTTTTGATTTGAACAAATAATTATAATCAATCGATTTAAGAAATTATAGAAGATATTGAATTAAAGAAGGGCGAGGAAGAAGATAAATAATCTAAAAGGTTCGACAGAGTATATGAAATATCATGACTATTCATATCCTGATAGAATTTATGAATACGACTGTATTTCAATATGCAGTCAGATGACAATTCAATTTGTATTGTTAAGACATCAAAATTTAAATTTTTGATGCCGCGTAAAAGATTTAATGTATCATTCCGCACTAATCGAATTAATTATGGTTCAATTAAAGATTATAAAGAGTGTTTCGAGTTTTACTAATACAAACAAGCATGCGATTGTAGCATTTAAAGAGAGGGTAAATTACACCATTCTTTACTTAATTTTAGTCTTTTTCCTATTTTGCTGCTGTACTTTCAGTTTTTCTAATTTACTCATTGCACTTTTGGATTGTTCTTGTTTTGATGACTTTGAATTATTTTATTATTATTTTTACATGACGAGATATTTTATTATTAGTTAATATAAAAGTAATTTAAAATATAAAATAAAAATATAAGGTGGTTGGACACCAATGTCTGTTGTCTTTGATCGCCATAGATGATGGTTGTTCGGTCTCAAATTTCATGGGTCGCTTCTCGCCTCAACACCTTTGAGTCTAAATCCGTCCTCCATTTTTTCAGAGCTTGCTCCAAAGTCTACAAATTGGAGATTGAAAATGAGGAAACTGAAATATTTCAATAAAGATTCACGGATTTTTCGAGACATTTTCCGGTGAAACAACCACCAGATTCGAATTCAAGAGATCGAGGCAAATTGATCCATAAAATTTGGGATCGAACGACTACCGTCTATAATGGTCGACGGTGATTGGCAGTGACATCCGACCATCTTCTATTTTTATTTTATATTATATACTAATAAAAATGTCACATCATATAAAAATAATAATAAAATAATTCAAAAATTATTAAAAACAGAAATAATTTGAAAGTTTAGTGAGTAAGTTATAAAAATTGAAAGTATAGCATTAGCCTACGTGTCAGTTTCTCATTGGACAGATGTACGGATAGAACGGTTTTCGACTTAGAAACCCTAAAGCCCTAATTCCCCTCTCCCCAAATATACACATCCTTCGTTCACCTTTTATCTAACTCGAGTGTTAATCCTAAACATATAACCTCTTTAGCCTTTGCCGCTCAGCCGCTTTGTTTCGCTCAGGTAACTTCTTCTTCTTCTTCTTCTTCTTCGTGCTCTTTGTTTTGGTTCTCTAACCCTAGATCTCGATTTCACGTTTTGATTTTGTTTTATTTGATGGAAGTTTAATCTTTGAATGATTTACAACCTTGGGTTTTGTTTTGTTTCTAAGAAAAACTGAGATTTGAAATGATTTTTTCGTTATTTTGGGTCCCGAAAGGATCATAATGGACCGGTACCAGAAGGTGGAGAAGCCAAAAGCTGAAACACCTATAAACGAGAATGAACTCAGGATTACAGCTCAAGGGAGAATGAGGAATTATATTTCTTACGCTATCACTCTGTTTCAGGTTCTTCCCCCCTTTTTTTCTAATGAATATTGGCAGCGTTTTAAGTTTATTCTAAGACTTTGATTTGATTTGTGGTTATAGAACATCCTATTGCAATCTTTGATTTCATGTTGGTTTTCTTTTCTTTTTGTCGTAGGAGAAAGGTGCCAATGAGATTATACTTAAAGCCACTGGCAGAGCTATCAACAAGACTGTCATGATTGCTGAATTAATTAAGGTTCTCTTATTTGGGTTTATGATGCACTTATTCTCAATCTATTTTGTTAGCTATTGTTTTATGATTGCTTAAGTGTGTAAATGAACCGAGCTTAAATGAATCGAGCTTGAATGAAGAAGATTATGTTTGTGTTTGTTTGTTTATCTTTGAAGGTGTTTATGTTTTGTTCGTGTTCGATTAAATTTTTAGTATTGTGGTAGTTCATTTATTGTTCACGAATGTGCTCGTTTATATGTTCATTTAATATTTGTTTAGCATTCATTTATCGTTTATATGTTCAATTTTTAGTTTTACCCTTTTATGCTAAAGAAAAATGATAAAATTACGCCATTAGTGCTTAAACTGTTTAAAATTCATAGTTTAAATTCAATTTTTATCACGTGTTCAATTTAGTCATTACTATCATCAATATTTAAAATGTGAAAAAAGGAAAAAGAAAATCGGGTACACGGGCTTGTTCATGAACATAAATAAACGATTCGATAAGCGAGCTAAAAAATGAGATTATAAACGAGCTCATATATGAGTTTATTCATGAACATAAACGAATCGAACATACCTCTTCTCATGTTCGTTCGTTTATTAAATGAACATAAATTTTTTGTTCATGCTCATTTATTTAGCTTAACAAATGAACATAAACGAACCGAACATACCTCTGTTCGTGTTCGATCGTTTATTAAATGAACATAAAATTTTTGTTCATGCTCATTTATTTAGTTTAACAAATGAACATAAACGAAAACGAATAGTTTGCCGAACGCTCTGTTCATTTACACCCCTATAATGCTGATGCCTTGCATTTTGTTAACAATAATGTATTCTAATGTTTGTGGAAACATGTTTTAATGTTATATATACGTGTGAGTGTGTATGCATTTGATTGTGTCTTGCATTTTGTACTGAACTGTATTAACTTTCTTCCAGAGGAGGATTGCCGGTCTTCATCAGAACACATTGATCGGATCGATAGATATAACAGACACATGGGAACCGCTTGAAGAAGGCCTTCTTCCGTAAGAAACCTATCCCTTTCTGTGCAAAAAAGCAATAATTTTCTTGCTAGAGCTATATGATTGTCACTAATGTTTGGCTTTTGCAGCATAGAAACCACTCGCCATGTTTCGATAATCATTATTACTTTGTCTAAGAAAGAGCTGGATTCATCTTCAATAGGGTGGGTGGCCTCTTTTTATTTGTATTTAAAAGTTAGCGATGTTGAAAGCAGTATCGTGTGCCGGTTCCTGTTATTTATTAATGATGTCTTGGCATGTTGCTTTGGTGGTCTGTTACTTTGATGTCAGATATCAGCCTCCAATTCCAGCTGATCAAGTGAAGCCATCAACCGAGTTCGATGACAACGAAGGAGGTGAGATAATTGTGTACAGTTGATGATTATATATTCCTGGTGTATGTCGAGTTTCGCATTAGTTGATATTTGTATTCCCATATCAATGACATTGGAGATCTCCCTTAACACCCAAAGCTAAGCACATGGCCACGTTTAATGTGGAGGTGTAGGCAATCAGCATATGTTGTATTGTACTAAAGTGAAGCGTCACATGAAGTATTAATGGTGTTTGAGCAAAAAGACTTTCCTTCTTTTATAGTACTTGGAGTCTTGGATACCATAAGTTGAAAATCCATTTAGAATTTCGGCTGTCATTTTGCTTTTGCAATGCAGGTGATATGAAGGAAACACTATTTTGGGAAGGCTAATTGAATATCATGTGTTTTTGGTTTCAAATTGTTTAGGGGACGGTAGATGTGACAAAGTTGACAGCAAGGTTGCTGTTATGTTTGTCGGTTACAAGTAGTTGCTAGTCTTTATAGCACATAGGCCACTTTCCGTAAATACTTCCATATCGACTGATGATTGAATCTATTTGAACACATATCGACCAACACTAACATAAGAATGTTACAATGTTACTCGTGCAGGCGATGTCAATGGTGTCATGGTGGATAACAGGAATGGAGGATATGATGGTGGGCAAGGTTATGGGAGAAGAGGTCGAGGTCGTGGTAGGGGACGTAGTTTCCGAGGGCGTGGGAGAGGGTATGGTGGTGGAAATATGCAACGGGACTCGGGATTTTACAATGGTAATGCCCCATCAGGACCACTGCCTGCCGAGGGTCATGGTAAGTATTTTATTCCAATGATTTCTCTCTATTTGGTGTTCTGGTGTACTGCGTACTCTGTTTTAGACACTTGACATACCCAAAATCAATCCATTCTAGTTTCTTACGTACTTAAAAGGAAGAGAAGAATATACATATATGTATGTATGCCCATCTCCAAGAAATGATTGCTGTCCTGGTTTATGGCTAATCAGTGATTATGACAGGTCGTGGACGAGGGAGGGGAAGGGGACGTGGGCGCGGTCGAGCTCGGGATTTCGTTTCCGATGGCCATTTCCAGAAAGGTGCTTGAGCAACAAGCACCAACCTAGATTCTTCTGTAGAACTATGGCATTAGATTGAAACAAAACAAGTGGATGGCTGCTGCTCTATTCCTCGCCAGTCTTTGTTTAAGAAAAAGAACCAAGTCCTTTTAGACATTCTTTGTTTGCTTGAGAAATTGTGTTGTAAGGGACCTTATAGAATTGGTTTTCATTCTAAGCCTCAATTTTTGTAGGAAAGTTGATAGGATAGTTTATCTCATCTCAGTCAATGTTGTATAATTTCTCAGCTTTATTTTCACCAAATAATAGAGCAGTAAATTTATTCCAAGTATTATACAGATCTTATACGAGTACAGATACGGATGCATATATCCATAACCCATTGAACTATGCTTTATTCAACATACTATAGAACATAGGAAGATACATGTATGTAGATTTTGAACATCCAGGTGCTAACCCAAATTCCCCTCTGCTGTGGAATCTGCACAAATTCCATAAAACCATGCGTTAATAGTGTTTATATGAATCTTTCGGTGTGCTCGATTATCGGATATTGATTTCGGTGTCCGATAATTGCATGTGATCGACAGCCTTACCTGGACCGCATCTAATCCGGCACTTGCCTTCACAACGCTGCCTAAGCCTATCTGTTCATCAATCAATCAAAACAATTCAAAACCCAGAAAAGAAGGCAATGGAAGTTCGAACTTTTCACAAGATAACACAACAAGAAAGTGATGAAAAAAGGGTTTTCTTTTTTAAGTACTTGCCGTTGGTTAGAGGGCAACCGGTAGAACAAGCGTCGAAGCAATCCACCTGTGGCTCGACGCGCTCCATTTGTGAACTGATAACACAGAAAATGAGAACTGCAACTATCATCACCTTCTTCTTCATCTCCATCTTCTTTCCTTCTTATCTTCTTTTGATGGATGATCTTTTCACCTTTGTTTATATAGTGGGAACTTATTGGAATAACCCATCAGCTTGCATTAAACTACATATTTGCCATGTCCATGAACAGCTTCCCTAGCAGCCACGCCAACAGCAACGTGGACCATTGGAACACACTTTGTCTTTGGCAATTCAACTCTAGCCGCCTACTTGAGTCAAATTATGCTTTTAGTCCCTCTATTATACTTAAATTTCATCTTTGTTGTAAAAGATTGAATGATGATGGTGATGGCAAACTTTCATTGACACTCAGTTAACAGATCATTTGAATTAAAAAAATTAACATAATAGTGAAATAATAACTCTTTAAATAAGAAAAATGAACACAATTTGACTTCATTTCCTGAACAAAATAAATCAACAGCAAACAATGCTGTGATTATGAACCTCTCTCACATTACATGTTCAATCACAACCTTTGCTTCTTTCTTTTCATCCACTGCCATTGTTTTACCTTCTTTCTTTTCACCCTCAACAATAGCTTCTTCTTTCTTTGTTTCTTCATTCCTATCTTCCTGCAAATCGATCCGTTACGAAAAATATATGTTATGATCATGGGAAAGTAAGCAATGCAGAAGAGATAATGAATTCTCTATATGATAAAAGATCATGAGTTCGAATCATGTCGTCGTAATGTCATGCACTGCTCTTTAATGGTACAATCAAATATGCTCTAAGAGAGAGAAAAAAGCTAGAAAAACGTTACATTGTCAAGCAAATAGCGAAGGGAATGTGGTCTGATTTCCTCATCTTCATTAGCCATGTTTTCCCCTACTTCTTCCTCGGCGGCCGGCCGGAGAGATTCCTCCTTGGCGGGTACGGGTTTTAGGCCGGCGGCCGAGTCTTCATCTTTCAAGACCTTTGGCTTACTAGCGCAAGCACCCATGTATTGAAAGATGAAGACGAAGAAGGAGAAGAAAACAAGTTATGAAAATGAAAGGAAATGAAGCTTCTCGTGATGATCATTAGGCTTAACATTGAGGGTCTTTTATAATGATTTTCAGTGGTGCAGATAGATTTAAGGGAGCCAATGGCTATATTTGTCTTGAACTAACTGAAATATTGTTAAGATTTTAGATTTTTTTTTTCATTTTTCCAAATTAACATGGATCGATTAAGTATTTAAATCCGAAAGTCGATTGAGTTCTTATCAAATTTCTAGAATGAAGTCAGTATGATCATGTATGGAAAGTAGATAAACCAGAATCAAGAACACAAGCTAACATGGACATGCATTGTCATTAAAAACAGCAGCCATTGCTAGAGAAAAAAAGAACAACATTGACGGATATACATACGGAGGGATATCAAGAAAGAGATATCTCGATCCCGAGCTTATGCCTAAGCCCTTTCGAGATCGGTTCTTCTGAGCTTAAGTAGCATTGCTATGCATTCGTTTCCAAGTTTCAGACGCTTGTTTCTCAGTCTCATCTTGTCAATCTTTTGTATAGAGATTGTAAATGACTATTAGAATAGTTACAACCTTTGATGATGTCTTTTTATCATAAAATATTACATCTATTCATCATGAATAATCATATTCATTCATGATAAATAGTTACATACATTCATCCTAATACATTAATGAATATTTACTCCGCATGTTTTTTTCTCGATTAATCAACGAGGGTTTCGAGAAGTTTTGAACACATGTTTTCAGTGGCTTGAATTGGAACAAAAAATGAATGAAAAAAATATCATAAATTAACATAAATAATATAATACAACAGCTAATTAAGCTATAAAACACAGTAATTGTTTTACATAGTAATTGTTTTACATATGCACCTTTGCACCAATTACCTATAGAGCAAGGAAGGTAACTTTGGGGAAAGTGTAAGCTCTAATGGTGCAGCTCTAGGATCAGTAGTTATTCCAGGGCTTTCACTCATGTCGATGGCTTCTTCTCCGACCGTTCCCCATTCAAATCCATGAATCAGTCGAGCCAAAGCTAAGTGCTGGAACCGAAGCGCAAAAGTGATACCAGGAACCTCACATCCATGTTAGCAGGCTCATTGAGGAACCTCTTAGGTATGAAATCCGGTGGCTTATGCTAAACGTTGTGGTCGGGTTGCAACTTCCAGAGGTTAACGAAAAGTCGAGTGCCCGCCAGAACGTGGAAACCGGCTATTGTGCAGTCCTCTATGGCTTCTCTTGGTACCAGAGGTGCCGCAGGGTATAACCGCAATGTTTCCTTGATAATGGCTTGCAAGTATGCCAAGTTAGTTTCCTAATCAAAGGCAATTGCTGATATAATTCCTTCAAGAAACTATTGATTTCGGTGTCGGGAACATGTTTGAGCAACTCGAGCCGACAACTAGAGAGGAGCTCAACCGAAACTAGTTTCCTAGTGCCCCATGAATCCCGAGACGGACCGTGAACGCCGGTCCGTACTTGTCAGCCATGTCTGCAAATGTTCTCAGTAGCAGCTGGTTTTTCTGAGAAGATGAAGATGACCGAGACACGGTAACGCCCCATCCGGCTCGGGTGGTCTCCTCTGCTGTTTCTAATTGCCTTTAACAAGGATGGTGGCCACAAATATGGTGATAATTATAGTGAAAAAAAGTGTAAAAAGGAGTTGTCGGTGAAATTGTATAGAGAATTCCATGGTGTGCTTCAATGAAATGAACCAAAATTGGAGATAACAGTTTGACATAGGCAAGTTCATGCCCCATAGAACTATCCAGTGTAATCTAAGAACAATTTTATTTTATATATGTACAACACCAGTAGGAGATGTTGTGGGAAGTTTATTACAATAGAATTAGAGCTTTCATGGTAAATAGTGGGAGTAATTACGCATTCCAAGGGAAACAAACGTCATAATTGGTCAAACATGGACCATCGGGCTTTACATTCCACACGCACCGACTACAAAGAGCCTTATCCCTCATCTCTACGTATATGTCGAACCAATGCGTCGTTCCATGCCACTGAAAGCTGCAGTAAAACAAGGTGTTCATAAAGATGCTCGGCCGGAACCCGTACTCGAAAGAGTTTTGGTAACCAAGACGTTGTTCGCCCAGGTCGTCGTTCTTCGATTTGCAATGGATAGTGAGATCCGTCCCAGAGCCCAGATCGTTATAGATTAATACATGCGCTTTGTGCGGGATCAACGAAAAGGCCTCAGACACGACTAAATGCAAGGATAGATGGAGCAAGCAGATGATGGGAGAAGGATTCATGTTTGGCTTTAATGGTCAGCATAATTACACATAAGCTTATTATATATGAACTTGAAATGTCTGATTTGGTAAAAGGAGATATCCACATAGTGAAGGCCATTAGGCAGATAAGGTATCATATTTCCTATGAAGTAGTAATTTGATTCCGTATAATACCAACATGGAAATGCTTTGCACATATTTCATGCAGAATTTGGAGTCGTTAGGAATATTGTAATGATCTATCAGCTAGGTTAGTAACTTATGCAGATAAGGTATCTTATGCATCTTTGCACCAATTACCTGTAGAGCATGGAAGGTAGGGTAAGAGTAGCCTCTAATCCTAGACCATTCCCCTTTCAAATCCATGAATCAGTCGAGCTAGAGCTAAGTGCTGGAACCGAAGCGCAAAGGTGATAGCAGGACAAATCCTTCTACCACAACCAAATATTGGTATAAGCTCAGAATTTTGACCCCTCACATCTATGTTAGCAATGCCACTGAGGAACCTCTCCGGCATGAAATCTAATGGTTTATGCCAAATGCTAGGGTCACGCTGCAACTTCCAGAGGTTAACGAAAAGTCCAGTGCCTGCCGGAACTTGGAAACCGGCTATTGTGAAGTCCTCTATGGCTTCTCTCGGTACCGATGGAGGCGTTGCTGGGTATAATCGCATTGTTTCCTTGATAATGGCTTGCAGGTATACCAAGTTGCTTATGTCTTACTCTTCCACTTGTCGTTCTTTCCTGACATGGATGTCGAGTTCATCTCGGACCTTCTTTAGCACGTCGAAGGTTATTCAATAACAGGGAGACTGCCCATGTAAGCGTAACGACATTGGTAATGTTGCCACCCAAGACAAGACTCTGCCATCAGAATTGTCTGATAAGGTTATCTGTTTTCATATGATGCATATAACTTACATGATTCTGCTTAACAATAACATACCAGGCAAGTTGATTTAATGGTAACATCAGCCTCTTGAGATGGAACATTGCTTTCATCCATGACAGACAACATGACATCGATGAAATCTTGGTCCCCTTTGACGCCTCCGTTCGCGATGCTCGTTTAGCCAGCTCCCGAGTACAATATCCAGCTCCTTTGCTGTCTTCTTTATTTTTCCTATGTTTCCGGTAACTACGTCGAGCCAACCGAGAAAAGGCACCGTATCGGAAAACAAGAACAACCCTGCCAGATAGAAGAAATCACACAAGGCCTTTTGGCATCGCCTTGATTCCTCGTTACAGCTTCCTTCTGTACCATAGTATCTTTTCCTAGCAACCATCCTCACTATTATGTTGGTTGCTAAGTCACCAATTCTTTCCTTCATTTCCACTACCGCAACACCTCCGTTTTTCGCCGAACGCTCATATAATTCCCTTATAAAGCTATTGATTTCGGTGTCGGGAACATGCTTGAGTACCTCGAGCCGTCGATTCGAGAGGAGCTCAACCGTAGCTAGCTTCCTTATACCGCGCCAATACGGTCCGTAAGGAGCAAAGCCTAACATGTTATGGTCATACCCCCTATGCTTTAGGAAGACCTTATCATTGTTTGTGAAACATTCTTTTGCAACTTCCCAGTTACTCACCACAAGTGCTCGATCAATCCCGAGACGGATCGAGAACGTCGGTCCGTTGTCAGCCATGTCTGCAAATGTTCTATGTAGCATCTGGTTTTTTTCCGAGAAGGTGAAGATGACCGAGGAACGATAACGCCCCATCTGGCTCTGGTGGTCTCCTCTGCTGTTTCTAGTTGCCTTTAACAAGGATGGTGGCCACAAATATGGTGATAGTAGTAGTGAAAAGAAGTGCAAAAAGGAGTTGTTGGTGAAATTGTATAGAGAATTCCATGGTGTGCTTCAATGAAATGAACCAAAATTGGAGATAATGATCTCATTTACTTAGAATGGAAATATCTTGTTTGTTTGAGAGTGACTTATTGTGTTGATTAGATCGAGGTTGAGAAATATATAAATAATTAGAACACGTGAAAGTAGTATCATGTAATAAAGAAGGGCAACTGGGCACGTGAAAGTAGTGTCGTGTAAGAAAGAAGAAAGACAGCTACCAAATACTGTTGCCAAGTCTGTCTAGGATGGGGTTCATGGAGCAATTGTATAGAACAAAAAGCTGTGGGAAAGAATAGCCACCAATCAAATCATTATTGGTAATATTGTTATCACATCACTCCGATCCAATATCGTCGAGAATGCAAACGCAGCAATGGTATTCCGATACCTCCCGTTACCGGTGGAAGGAACAAAAATCACAAAGCATCATCCTCTTAAAGTTCTTAAAAATTCAAAGCGTATGTACATAAGCAAATGCCAGAGATGAAATGATCCACAAAATGCATGCATAAGAGCCTAAACATCAACAAGTTCCAAGATGTCGGGTATAATATAATCGTGTTTACTCGGTTATTAAACACGTCCAAAACAAAGGAATCAGCAACGACTTGCCCCCATAATCTGTGGTTTGCTTTGGGCACCAACCCAATATCAACTAATCTTACATTTGAGAGTTTCTTGGTCAACTTTTTTCAAAAAAAGAGCATGAAATTTCAAGGGATCACTGCCCGGGATTTCCCAGAAGCCTCTCGACCGCAGCGTGGACGTTTCCAGCGGTAGCTCGTAGTGCTCTGATATTATCTTGCGTATCATAGAAACCCATTTCTTGGAGTTGCGATAGTTGTGTGGCATACAGTTCTTCTGGGGGAACTGGAAAATCAATGAAGGTGCCATTAGGAGAGACCCAAAAGTGCAACAACTCGGATAAATGTTCTCGTAAAGTTAAAAGAATGCTGACCATTGGATTGGTTGGGGACACCCACGCCACCGGCGCCTAGTCCGCCAAACATATTCATCAACAAGTCCAGATTTGCAGCTCCTGTTGCAGCTGAAAATGCAATCGAACAAAATGATGGGTAAAAACATGAACACGGATGGAAGCAGAGCAGTTAAAGGAAAGATAGAAAAATAAACTAGAGAAAGCCCTAGCAGTTCGAGGAATAACTACAGTTCGGAATTGTGTTTATCTGTACCTGTAATACCACCGGTCGGTGCTGAATCCCTGTAAGGAAGCCTTAAGTTAACATTGAAAGCAAGAGTATCGAAAGGCGATTGAAGTTTTAGTTACCAACAGAATAGACAGAGGTACTATCACTTACTGGGTTGATTGCAGTCGATTGAGAGACGCAAGGGACTGCTGTAAAGCTAGCATTTGCTGAAAGAAACGAAAGAAAAATGGGAAAGGTGAACATAGGTGACTTTTCTGTCGAAACAGTACTTGAAAGAAAAAAGCAAGGCAGCCTTAACATGCCTAGAAGGCCAAATCAGCTCCGACCAGCTTATATATACAACATACCTGCATTGTCTCGGGGGAAAACATTTGACGAAGTACTTCAGGGTTTTGCATCATTTCTCTCAATTGAGGATTCAAATCAAACATACTTTGCAGTTGGGGGTTGAGATTCATAATCTAAAAAATAAAGACAGATTGTTAACGAAATGAAAATATGCAAATGAAAACCTCGAATGAAGTGATTCCTCGAAATACCTGATTCATATATTGGGGATTGGACATTATGCTCTGCATCATCTGGGATATTGCTGGGTTTTGCAATAACTGAGTCAACTGAGAAGCATCCGGCATTCCATTCAACATGGGAGGCATATCCGGAAGTCCAAGGCCTCCTAAACCACCAATACCTAGTGTCCTGGAATCCGCTGCAGGATTTGGCCTTGCAGTAGTGGTGGTCTGGGTACCCCCTGACATTTTGCGGCACACAGCAATTCATCAGGAAATCAGGATCTAAAACACAGATACGATAGTAGTAAATTCCATTAAAAGAAAACAAAATATTTAGATGATCTAGTTTACTCAAAGTTGCCTTTCATCCGGCAAACATGGTAAAACGGTGCAGGACATATCGGTTTAAGTTCTCTCCTTTTTTTCCTAATAAGAAGGAATACCTCAATTATATTGGGAAAACCCAAAACAAAAAGTAAATGTAATTCATAATCATGCAGCATTCGACATGGACAAGAAGTTACGATTAGACGAGTCTCGAACGAATCATTCCTTCCACAACTAAAAAATATTAGTATAAACATTGTAGATATTCTAGTAAAGGCAACATTTCATTAGCGCTAAAATGTTGCGGGACACATTAATTTAGCTTTATGTGCAAAATTATCTAAATAAGAAAGAATCCCGCATCCATATTTCAAAACTCAAAAGATAATAGTACACGAGCATGCAAAATTTGAAAAGGGAAACAAATCATAATTACATGAATCTCAATCAAACCATTCACCCGACAACCGAGTGAGCTCAGAATAATGCTTTATTTTAAACATTGATCAAGTCTACATAATAAAAAAACTCAGACCATAAGCTTTCAGTATCATGACGACATAATTTTCCTTGTCAATCAGTGGCATTTGGAATTAGGCTACCAATCATCTCTGCAGCATGTGCGTACAATACAAAAATATGCACACTGGACAGAAGAGTATGGCTAGACCGAAATGCTTTAATGAAGTAAAGATTGCTTACCACCACCAACAGTGTTGCTCCAAGGATTAGGGAGCGGATTTGTGTTTGGAGCAGTTTGGCCCTGAGCGGTTTCGGAATTGGTTGTAGAAGTATTATTAGTTGAGTTTCTAGCTTGAGATACACCTTGATTGCCCAACAGAGCAGCGAATGGGTTCGAACCCGGATTATTTTCATTATTTCCACCCACAGTTGTAGCATTCAAAAATGGCTCCTGAACATTTTCATACATACGCCTAAGCATGTTAAATCCCTCGGGAGATGCTTCAATATTACTCATAGCCCTGTCAGTGTTCCGCATCATTTCACGCATGAGTTCAGGGTTTCTTGCAGCTTCTAATGTCTGCCGAAGAATGCTAGGGTCGTTAAGTATATGCCCAAGCTCCGGATTCCGATCAATAATTTCACGCATTTGAGGATTGCTCATGATCAAGCTGCGCATCAGCTCCGGGTTATTCATCAAACTTTGAATAGCAGGTGTATTCATTATTTCCCCCATCATGTTGGGATTTTGAGTTAGTTGCTGCTGAACTTGTTCGAATTCAGGAAGTCCAGATCCAAACAAACCAAAACCTCCACCGCCAGCAGCAGCACCACCACCACCAAGTGGACTAAGTCCAGGGAATAAGGAAGCCCCCAGACCAGCACCCTCCGTCGAGCCAATACCCCGAGTAACCCCGGGTGCAGTACTATCAGCTGCAATATTTGCCGTAGCCGCAGGAGGAGGAGACGATGAAGATGGGGCAAAACCACGAACCATGTGAACCATATGATCAGCTAGCAAACCTTCAATAGCGAAAAAGTCAATGATCATGTCACAATCTTCCTAACTGCAGGTTAAACAATCAAATATATAGCCGTCTAAACCAGCTCAACAAAATCAATAACATACCACAAAAATCAGCATATTCTCAATTAATAACCTAATTACCCATACCTAGAAAATCAATCATTTTCCTCCAAGTTCCAAAAACTTGTCACCAGAACCATTTTACTTCTAGAAATCCAACAGTTTTCCATAATTTTTTCTTATAATCCAATCAAAATATAACACACCCAGAAATGATACGGGCCAAAAAACATTTTTTTTTTCTGAAGGAAATTAAAACATACCATAACTTTTAAGAGTTTGGTCATCCTTCAAGATTCGACCTTTATAAATCAACCGTTGCTGATCAGCTGGGATATCGCAATTCTGAGCCAGAAGAGCCTTGAAAGATCCAACGCTGGATTCGAGGCTGGTCCTCACCGTAAATTTCGTACCGTTGGAGCACCGGATATTAACCACCGCCACTCCCTCTTCTCCTCCTCCTCCTCCTCCTCCACTGCCACCGACTCGTGACTCACTGGAATCGCCTTCCGCACCCATATTCCCCCTTCCCAGATCGATCAAAACCCCTAGAAAATTGGGGGCGTTGAAATTATTTCTAAAAAATAATTGAAAAAAAAAAGGAATTATAGAATTGAGGGAAATTTTTGGGGAAAAAATGAATCGTAAAAACAAAAAGGTGATTTCTTGAGACTTTAGTTTTGGAGAAAATTGGGGATTCTAACAGAACAGAGCATTACGGGTTTGTGTTTGAGGCCATAATGCCCGAATTGTTAAATTATTTATTTATTTATCAGGGTAAACTATGCGAATAATCTCGTATGTTTAGTATCTTACCGACTTTTTTCACTAATTTAAAAATTCAGGAAAAATGATCCAGAACGTTATTGATTCGTTCGATTTCAATCTATCATCCATTAATTTTTGTTAACCTCCTTTTGTTTAAGTCACTAACATGTCTGAGGGACTAAAATTGAATGGGAGTCAACGATCGAGGGACTAAAAATTGAATGAGAGTTAACGATCGAAAGATTAAAATTGAATAAGAGTTAACGATCGAGGGACTAAAATTGAATAAATCAATAATGTTAGGGACTAAATTTGAATGGAATGATAACTTTAGGGACCATTCCACTTAATTTTTATATCGAAAACCAAAATCGATCATACCAAAAACATAATGAACTACCTACATAATTTACCCTATTTATTATTATATTATAAGGTTTGTCATATGAACCAATCATATCCAGCCACGTTTCTCAAAACGGTACCCATTGTCTTTTAAGGATAAACCATATAAATGGTCCCTAAACCTTTATAACTTATATTTTAATCATCAAACCTTTTATTTTAGAGTAAATTACAAATTTTATCTGAACTCTAGAAGTTTTTATTTTCCTAATTGAATTTAATACATTGGGCTTTTTTTGTCACTGAACTTTACTCTCTCTTATTTTGGTCGTTCTATCGTTAAATAGTTAACGACAACGACATCGTATACTTAAAAAAAATAAAAGTTTAAGTGTTAAAACGAACCAAAATTGATAATTTAAATACTAAACAAATATATTTTAAAAAAATATCTCGAATTCATGTCTGAATAACCCAGATGTTTATTTCATCCAATTAAATGTTATAATCCACCTTAACTTTGCATTAAAAAGAAAATTAATATCAATCTTATGGCATATGAAAATTTTAAGATCGTTCTGGGATCAAACCCATTGGTCGAGAAGAAGAAAATCATTTTGAGATTCAGATCAGTCTAGCTTAGCGATGACTGCATCGACAACTTCTTGCGTTGAGCTATCACCGCCGAGATCCTTGGTCCGGTACTGGCCCTCCAAGATTATGCGTTTCACTGCATTCTCGAGTCGATCGGCGAAAGAAGGGAACTGTAGATGCCTCAACATCATGGCTGAGGAGAGGAGTAATGCCACCGGATTTGCTGTCTTTTGCTCTACTATCTTTTCTTTCCCCACGTTCCCCGCCGAAGCACCTTGCTCGAACACGGCAAATTCAGCTCCCACATTGCCTACAGTTAAGAGTATTGTTTAATGAAAGCTAGCATTATTACATCCATGCCAACAGAAAATTGCGAAAAACAGAAAGCCAACGCATGTTAATACGATCTGAACACATTGTCGAGTAATTGATACCTCCAGGCATGACACCGGTGCCTCCGGCTATACCGGCTGCTGTATTTGCAACAAGATTTCCATAAAGATTAGGAGTAACCTAAACACAAACAAAGAATGTTAAACACCACCAGACAAATAACATAGAAGGGACGATGCAACATAAAAGAAAGTTGCAAAAATCTCATGGGCAATAAAGATGTCAAAAACCGTAAATTTCCGATTCAAAGTCGAGATATTTGGGAGTCTCCACGATTATCTATATCTTCATGTTGAACAATTTTAAGACATTGTATGTATCACAAGAATACACAGAAAACACAGGCTGGTTATATCACACAATCAAAAAGAACTTTCAAAGGATCATATTCTAAGTACCATTTATCAATATTAACCTATGTTATTCGGACTCGGAGGAGAGAGTTGATTATATTGACATATATACAAGTTGGAACGGCGGAAGGCCATATATAGGGAAGAAAGTTTGCTTTCATCGGTCAGTATGTGAATTGCTAAAAGCTCTAAGACAATTGAGAGTTTCAGCAATCGATCTATAGTTCTATCCCACTCCCGATTCTCTCTCCTTCAATCGAGCCAGTTGAGAGTTCAATTTCAATTGATAAATCGAGCAAGTAGGCAGGAAGGTAAGGTTGCTAGTGCAGAAAGATCGTTCAAGCAAAGCAGCAGTCGTTTAACATATATAAAGCAACGCTAGTGCTCGATACCGGTATGTCCAATTCTGCCAAGGTTTTCTACATATTCTAAAGGTCCTTTTTTTGATAAGAATATTCTAAAGGTCCTTCAACGGCTATATCTTTAAACTCGTGTTCAAACATGCATCGGCCACAGGGACAAATCGAATAACAAGATATATACCAGAGAAGACGATCAAAACACCTAACTAGCCAATTATATATGCAATATCATTATTCAAAAACTTCCCCAAGTAAAGGAATTCATATACCATGACATCAAATTGCTCCGGTTTCGAAACGAGTTGCATACAGCAATTGTCCACAATGATTTCGTTATACTTGATGCCCGGATACTTAGTTGCTACTTCACGGCAAGACTCCAAGAACAACCCATCAGCAAGCTTCATAATATTGGCCTTATGAACAGCAGTAACCTTCTTTCGATTGTTCAAATAAGCATACTCGAATGCATATTTCGCAATCCGCTCGGAACAGAACTTGGTTATAACCTGTAACAAAAAAAAGATTACCCAGCATGAAAATTTTCAATTTTTTTCATAAGAAAAACAATTCAATTCCCCTTGGTTTACTCACCTTAAGGCTCTCGACGACGCCGGGCACGACCTCGTGTTCGAGACCAGAGTATTCGCCTTCGGTGTTCTCCCTTATCACGACAATGTCAACGTTCTCGTGTCTGGTGGGTAGTCCCGGTAAGTTACAGCAGTTGACCAAAGAAGCGTATAGATCCAGTTCTTTTCTCAGTTGCATATTCAAAGAACTGACTCCGCCTCCCATGGGCGTTTTCAGGCCGCCTTTAAGACAAACCTTGTTCTTCCTTATCGAATCCATGACTTCCGGCGTCACCCGCTTCATGTCGCCGTGGACTTCGTACTTCTCGAAGTAAACCGGCGCGTGCATCGCCTCCATCACTTGCTCCACCGCGTTCGTCACCAGTGGTCCGATCCCGTCTCCTGGGATTAGGGTCACGGGTCTCGGGGCGCCATCTCCCGGACGGGGCATGTAGGTCACGGTTCGGGTTTGGGTTTTTCCGGCCACAAGGGTTCTCAGAAGAGGAAGTGATCTGCGTGACGCGGCCATTGTTATGGCGGCGGAGGTTGGGGATCTTGGGAGTTTCCGACGATCGAATTAGGGTTTTGAGTATTGAGAGAGAATTGAGAGAAAAGGCCTCAAAGAGGAGTTGCAGAAAGTTCCACTGACTACCAGGAAAAGTAAAGGAAGAGAGAAGTGATAAATTTGCAACATAGTGCTTATAATTTAATGAGTATTTTCTTTTGGCACGTAGCTTTTATAGACCCGTAATTTGTAAGGTGACATATTTTGACTTCGAGCCTACTAAAAATTATGCTTTTCCATGTTTATCATAATATTTCCGAGTTCGTGTCTTTTAGATTTAAGGGTAAACTATACATTTAGTATTTAAACTATTAATTTTAGTATGTTTTAGTATCTAAACTTTTAATATTTTCAAAAGTATACTTAATGTTTAGTTTTTATTTCATTTTAGTACTCGCTATCAGAAACTTAACGTGTTTAGTGTCTAAACTATCAATTTCAGCCTGATTTATTACCAAAACTTTCATTTTTTTTTGAAAAAATTAACGTTAAATTTTGAACGGGTACTAAAATAAAATAAAAAAATAATTTTTTTAACGGCATGTACTAAAATGAAACAAAAACTAAACGTTAGGTATAGTTTTGAAAAAATTAAAAGTTTAGATACTAATACGGATAAAAAAATATAATTTAGATACTAAAAGCGTAATTTACCCTAGATTTAATTTTTTTTAAAGATTTGTATTATTTTATATTTAGATTATTCGAGTTTATCATTTATCAGATATATTATTCTAATTTCAAGTTATTTTAATTTAATATTTAAAAAATTTATTTAATCCTAAATTAATATCTATTTATTTTTTAATATTATAGTCTAGTCCCTTAGTTGTTTCTAAGTTATATTTTTATTAAACTACCCACAATCAGTTGGTCTAGTGGGATGAGGCACTAGATCCCTTAAGCAATGTCAGGGGTTCGAATCCTAACGTTTGCGAATGGAGCAAACTGGGTTGGGAGGGTCGCCCTCACCTATGCAGTACCCGATCTGGATTAATCGGTCAATAGATCGGATACGAGTAATTAATTAAAAAAATATTATTTATATATATATATATATATATATATATATATATATATATATATTCATAATAATATATAGACTATCTAAATTTTAATTTGTATAATCTTATCTTTTGATAATATACTTTATATAATACTATCTTTACTTTTTTTACATTAAAATAGACAATATCCTTTAATATTACACAACTTATGTATCATATAATTTTTATTAAAGAAACATATTAGAATGTAATAAAAACTATTAATAAGAATGCTAAACTTGAGCTTTATTTAAAAGATTTATAATTTTTTAATAATATAAAAGGGTTATAAAATAATATTTATTAAAGAAATGATAATATATATTTTTTATTAATAAAATTATTCGAACTTAAATTCTCTATAAAGGTCCACATTCATTTTATCACTGAATAAAAAAATTCGGGAATTTGGTATCTCTATCTAAAATGATAAATTCCATTCAATTTCAATGGGGTCACACAGTTCAGTGGAATGTCCTTGATTATCTTCATAGGATTCACACGGGTAAACTGCACATTTAATACCTAAATAATTAGTTTTAACCTATTTTAATACCTAAACTTACAATTTCTTCAAAATCATACTTAACATTTAATTTTCATTCCACTTTTGAACTCCAATATTAAAACTTAACGCGTTTAGTACCTAAATTATCAATTTCGATCCGTTATAATACCTAAACTTTCAATATCGATCCGTTTTAGTACCTAAACTTTTAACTTTTTTCAAAACTTAATGTTAAATTTTAAACAGAAATACTAGAATGAAATAAAAACTAAATTTCAAGTATGATTTTAAAAAATTAGAATTTTAAGTACTAAAATAGATTAAAATTGATAGTTTAGATACTAACCACAATTCACCTGATTTTCACTCCTGTTGGAATATAACACAACCCTAAATCCAAATGACGTCATTTTATTTTTCGGATAAATAAATAATATAGTATATATTTCGCTAATGGGTGTTAAATTGTTCTTTGACACAGATGCATGTTCAAAATTTGTTGAAAGTGGTATAAAACAGATCTACAGCTTCGTTTGGCAAAACATGGCATGGTCCACAACACAGCCTCCTCAACTGTCCCGGAAAATATCTCCGACTAAGACGAAGAGGGAGAAATCAAATCAAAAAAGGCCCCGAGCATCAGTTTCTGCAAAAAATGGACCGTTGGTTGAAGGCGGGTGAGTCGGTGACACCGCACCGAGGGAAGCAGACCTACCCATCTTGGCCACCGGATTCAAAAGCTCAAATACATTTTCATGTCTCAATCCATCCAAAAGTACATATATCTGGTTCCCTTGATGCAGCCCTTCGACTCTACAGGTCAGTTATCCGCAATAACCTGTCGATACACGATGTAACATAAAACACTTAAAACACGAGTATGAAACACGATATAGCATTGTTGTTTTGATCAGGGAGTAAGGATGCCACAACTAGCTGTACTCGGATTCTTGGAGAGTAAATGAGATGCAGATGGATAGCAGGGCTTCTCGATGGAACATTCAAGCTACCGAGCATTAAACAGATGGAAAAAGATATAAAACAATGGAACATACTTGGGAGGATACTATCGTATAAAGTGCATCAGTGCATTGCATATAAGGCGTGTTTAATAAACCGTGTACCATAATCGTGAGTTCATGTTTTGTTTAAGATCTAATGTACCTATTTCGCGTCATGTTTTAGATAATTTTTCATATCATAATCGAATTTATAAAGTTTTACCGGAACCGTTTCAACAAAAGCAGTTCAAACAATGATGATCTAGGTACTGAGGTTTTTATGAACATACACTAAGCTCACTTCTCTCCAAGTCCTTGTGCAGGAACCACCAAGGCCCGGTTTTCGATAGTATTCTGTAAAAACAAGCATATAATCAAAGATGCATAAATATTAGAATCCGTTGGCACAAAAATTTGTGTTTCGCAATACTTTAATGTCTTTAGACTCGGTCTTGGAAAAATAGAACATAGCTCGTAACATAAAATTCGTTCTTAAAAATTTTACCTGACAAATCCTGCTGTCATCCGCAGAGCCATAAATAGAGTTAAGCCCAACCAAACCCCTCGAAGACCGAGAGTCTTTGGGGCAAAGAGCAAAAATGCAGAAGAGACAGCACTCAGCAACATCTGGAGATCACATAACATACATGTTAGAAAAAGCAATCTATTTTTTTGTATCTAAAATTAGTCACTGATATTTTCAATAGGCATACCATAGAACAAGCTGCATAAGGAAAGTCCGACACGCCATAATGGAGACCATCAAATATAAACGCCAAGGCATTTATAGGTTGACTAGCACTGACGAACTACAATAATTTTATAAGAAATCGTTATACTGATCCGAGGACAACCATAAATGCAGAAGCAAAACAAAGGGACAAGCTTACTGGATTTTAATTTGAATACTTACCAGCACTCCAGTTCTAACAATCGCTAGAACTTCAGCATCTTTTGTGAACAAGGTCGCTAAAGAACTAAATGACACACCTAGGATTGCAGCCAACGAAATACCAGTGACAACCCCTATCTGTAAAGCCACGTGCATCAAGTTAGTGATTTGTATATCGCAAGCCAGATATCAACATAATAATTGGTGATAACAATTATGGGGAAATCCTGGTAAAAGCTTACTTTCAACACAAAGTCGGCAACTTCCTTCACAGTTTGTAGGTCGCCTTTAGATACGTAACTTGCAATCAATGCCTACAATAAGAAAAACGTCAGAAAGAAGGGCGGCATTATTCCTCGCTAATCTAGACAAGCAAAATAATGGTTTAGTCTGTGAGCACTAGTTTGTAACCATAAGGATTTGAATTTAGGGGCTCTCTCTCTGATTTTGATGATTGTTTTGGTTAAAATCTCAATAGGTAATATGAGTAAATGCGAATAAGTTACAGATATCCCCCCCGGAAATTATGTACCTGACCAGATGTTGCAAGCGCATCTGTTAGAAGAGATACAGCAAGCCATACTTGCATGCATATCTGATGCGCAGCCATGGGCAGTGAACCTTGACGAGCAGCCATAGAAGTCCCCAGAGTCATTGTTATTAATACTGAAAGAGTTCTTCCAATAAGAAAACCACCTGTAAAAACCATTTTCTGTAAGAAAATAAATAACTTAAAAATATATAGTCACCCAAGAACATAAATGTTAGACATCCTAAGCACACAAAGGATTATAAAATGGAGGGATACAATCAGAATAAAAAAAATTGTTCTCCACAGGCACATAGCACAATCTTTTCTTTTGAAACTAGTAAAAAAATTACCCGATTTTATGTAGCCACCAAATTGCAATTCCCCAATCTTTGGGGGCAATAATACAACTTTCTTGTTTAAATGCCTAATCATCAGAAAGGCAACAATGTACCTGACACAAGAAGATATTGTAGTATCATTTCCATGGAAACAAATCATTGAAGGGAAGAAGCAAATTAATGCCCAAAGCAGACTTGCATACTGAGATAAAACAGTAGAGAGAGCTGCCCCAGTCACACCCATTCGAAAGCCAAACATAAGTATGGGGAAAAAGAAGATGGATAATCCATTACCAACACCTGCATTAGAAGCAACTACACTAATTAGTCAAAAAAAGAAGAGGGATATCACAAAAGAGAAACCTAACACATTTATCATTAATACTGGAAAAAAGAAGTAACAAAGAACTACTGCATGCTTTAGACATATTGAATTCTCCCTTTCTTTTATACCACTAAAAGTGCTTCAATCTTCATAGTAACACTTAAAAGATGATAAATGATGTGGGGGAGGTGTGGGTTGGGGGGAAGGAGGAGGCAAGCAATCCGAACACACACATACAAGATTCGGTCAACCAGAAGAGTTAAAAGACCAAGAGAAACATAGATCATAATCAGTCTAAAATATTATAGACCATAAGTGGTTCTATTCCAATGGATAAATAATTACAAATTAACACATGTTAGGTCCTGATATACCCCTCCAACAACACCCAGAGAATGAAAAAGAAGGGAAGGACCAAAAAAGAGGAAAAGGTAAATTCCAAAACTATTACACAGATTTTTGCATCCTCGTGTCAGATTTATAGATCATCACTTAAATTTTAAATGATTTCTACACACTTAATGTTACTGATCATTGAAAGTCTATGAATCAGCTAGCTTCTTCTGCAGCTAAATGGTAAAGGAAGTTTGTTGACTTAAATTACAATCCATGTATTCTAATGTACGTGTTCAACAAAAAGTAAGTTTGTAAACCAAAATTACATTCCATGTATTCAAAGGTATGTGTTCAACAAAAAGTAAAGTAAACACAAACATAGCTCATTCCAGGCACAGCCCTTCCAAATGCTTACCTAAACAGAAAACAGGCGTCTGTGTATCTTTAAAACCACGAAAAATTCCTTGAAGAGCCAAAGAGATTACCACAGCAGGAGCCCCAAGAGCTCTAAGCGAAAGAAAATGTTTTGCCGGAACATGCATATCTGATGTCTGTTAAGAGGAGAAAAACAAGACAAGAAGCTTCAACATTAATAGCTAGCAGTATTTTAGCAAAGGAGGAACAGGAGAAAGATGACTAAAAAACAAAGAAAAATAAATCTACAATAAACCTAAACTTACTGAGGGTACTCCCATCAACTTAAGAAACAATCCAGATCCAAGAGATAATGCCAAAGCCTCAATGATGCCAATAAAAATTGCTAGAAGTAAAGCAGTGGACACTGATGATAATTGTTTTCTTTCAAGAGTCTTACCATTAGTACTCTCAGCTTCAAAATGAGAATTCAAATAGCCAAAGATCATGTGAAAATGTTCAATCATGTACATAAGTCAGGTAACATAAACTAGTGACAAGATTCACCAAAAACCAGCATGCAGCACCTATCTCTAAAATTTCACCTGCTGACAAATTTTCAATAGCATTCCTAGAGATGTCTTCAGCAACAAAGGAAGTCGCAACACTGAAGAGAGGAATATTGAACAACTTTGATACCACATTAAAAATCGATACAGAAACACCTGCAGAAGCTAATGCCATGGAACCTGCCAAAATAACAAAGAAACATCTCCATAAATATGATAAACCACTGGTTTCAAAAGTTGAGGAAGATTTTATCAATTTTCAAAATTCCAATTACATGAAACTGCACAAAATTAGCATAAACATACAAAATTATATTTTGAAGTTGTGTGCTGCAATTTGCAACAGAGAATACGAGTAATACACCCGTGCTTATAGAGAAGCATATCCTTCAGAAAACTATGATTATATCAAAAGACTAACAAATAAATCACAAGAAAAGAAACTGCTAAATATTTAGTCTATCGCCAAAGAACAAATGTTGTTTGCATGATCACATCAAATAACAAAAAGAAGGAAAATATAATTATTTTAGTGATTAAATCAATGGAACAAACTTAAAATTAAATTCATACTATATCTTCCAATGTATGCTGTCTCCATCAGTTGTGCAAAGGGATCAATAGCCTGTCCAGCAATCGCAGGCAGAGAAAGCATAATAAGTTCTCTCTTCACATCCACAGAAGTTTCTGTCACCTCACTGCATAGTGAAAATTCAAAGTTCACAGTACTGAAACTATTCTTGCATTTCATGATGATAGCATGAATGATACATGATTTTACAAAGTCGACTTATTTCACTTCCTCTATTCCTTAAAGCTCTATCTTACCACTATGCTAGAAGGGGAAGAAAACATTATATTCCAGAAATCAATCAATATGATTTTCATAACAATTACACAAACCGAACTACATCAAAACTTTAACAACATAACTATAAAATAATGAGACAATGTGTCACAAAAATCTTACTGGGCATCAACATTTTCAATTGCAATTGAACTTATCCGGGCAGTATCCTCTTGTTCATTCAACGTAATTCTCTCCTCGGCATCTTGCACACCAAAACCAGAACCTAACTGACTGTGAAGCTCTGGAGAACAGTGTCTTCTATGTGTCAGTAATGGCGACAACAATGAATTTCTATGCACTGCAGATAGGTGGCAGCTTCTCCGATCATCTTTGTAGCCTAGTTCCTTCCTAAATCTACAAATTTCATGCTGGTTTAACAAAGAATGAAAACTCGTATACTTATTTATCCTGTTCCATTCCTTTCTATGTGTCAGTCCACTTGAAATTGCGGAACCTCTGAAACATGTCTGTGCCATTCCACACGATTATCAGTTTTATAATCTACCAGACCTGAAAAAGACAATGAAAAAATTAGCTAAAAATCAAGTAATTCTTAATTTCCAAATGTTAGCAAAGCAAGATAAGCGGAAGGAACAAAATAAACAAATAAACGAAAATTCATCGAATAACACAAGCATATAAAATAACAAAGAATTAAACAAAGAGAAACGAGCGAAACAGAGCAAACCGCGAAAATAACCGAATTTCACGATATATTTCCAACATGCAATTACGAAACCGAATTTCTCTTCACAGAGCCTAGAGAATTTTTCTCTTTGGTTCTCGAGAAAAAAAACGAAGCAGCTGTAACATGAAATTACGGAAACGACGAGAAATCACGTTAGGAAATAAATTAAAAAAAAGGAAAGAAAATTACCTGTTCTAGAGGAAGTGAGTGAGTAGCGGTGGAGAAAGTTAAGGTCAAATTAAGAAGCTAAAATCATGAAATTGAACCGTCTAAAGCGGTGCATCGAATCATCGCCATTGATAAACTACGGAGACGTAGTTTCAAATTTAAAAAAAAAAACACTAGGGAAGTGAATCCGATAACCCAACTGTGGGCGTCGATTTCAATCTACGGTTCATTTGGGACTTCCTTTTCTTCGGCCCACTGTATTTTGAGCCTGTTAGCTTAGAGCCAAGCAAAGGGGTTAATGACGTTGGAGGTCCGCAAAGTGTAGTTTTAATTTCTATTAGTCCTAAAACTTTTAAATATTTTAGGCAAAATACGCATTTAGTACCTAAACTATCAATTTTGGTCCGTTTTAGTACCCAAACTTTCAATTTTTTCAAAATCATACCTAACTAAACGTGTTTAGTACCCGTTGCTAAAAACTTAACGTGTTTAGTACCTAAAGTATCAATTTTAGTCCATTTTAGTACCTAAACTTTTAATTTTTTTCAAAATTTAATGTTAAATTTTGAACGAGATACTAAAATGAAACAAAAACTAAACTTTAGGTATGATTTTGAAATTAAAAGTTTAGGTACTTAAATAGATCAAAAACTGGTAGTTTGAATATTAAACACGTAATTTACTTAGTAGAAGTATAAATATACTAATAACAATATATTTTTAAACATCTAATTTATTCTAAAATTATTAGATTGACGAAAGAAATTGATTAAAATGATAATGATAGTACCAGAAATAAATTGGAGTGATATGATAGGTAGGGACTGATTTGGAATCCAAACTATGCTTTAAGTACATTTGGTAGATAACCCTAAAATAAAAATAGGCTAAATAACATATTTAGTACTTAAACTATCAATTTTGATATATTTTAGTACCTAAACTTTCAAATTTTTTTAAAAATCATTCCTAAAGTCTAGTTTTTGCTTTATCTTAGTAACTTGATCAAAAAATTTTAGCATTAATTTTGAAAATTTGAAAGATTAGGTACTAAAACGGACCAAGATTGATAGTTTAGGTACTAAACGTGTTAAGCTTTTAACGATGAGGTACTAAAATGAAATAAAAACTAAATGTTAGGTATGATTTTGAAAAAATTAAAAGTTTAGGTACTAAAGTGAACCAAAATTGATAGTTTAAATACTAAATATATAATTTACCCTATAAATAATAATCTAATTTATTTCTTATGTGTTAACAATTTTTAAAAATAATTATATTTGAATACATTGAGTGATCTCTTTGGTTAGGAGTATTATTTTCCTTTGAGGTCTAAAGTTTGAACAATTTATGTCTGCAGGATATGTATATGTTATCAATGGTTTAGAAAGATTATAAAGAGTAGAGATATTACATTGTAATCAATCCAAACTAAGGATGGGCATGGGACTCGATCCCGACGGGTTCCGACCCGACCTGATCGGGTTATATTTTTTAAAAAAAATTGGGGTTGGGTTGGGTCGGGCTTTTTAAAGTGATGTTCGGGTCGGGTTTAGGGTGAAAAATACCTGACCCGACCCAAAAAAATATTGTAATTTTACCTTATATATTTAGTGATAATTGTAATAATACCCCTCTATATTATTTTCTTTCAATTAAATCCCTATTTTTATTGAATAAACATAATATTTTTAATAAATATATTATTTCGGATTGAGTCAAATTCGAACTTTATCTCAAAAAATTGGATCAGTTCGGATTAGGTTGAAAGGGTATATTTTCGAGTCGAGTTCGAGCCAAATTATGGTCAATTTCGGGTTGAGTGGAGTATTTAAAATTTTCGGGTCCGGTCGGGTGGACCAAAAATCCAACCCGACCCATGCTCATCCCTAGTCCAAACTATTCAAAATAAAGATATAACATTATAATTTTAGTTTTTTTACGTATATAATTATCAAAATTTAAAATTATCATATATTTTAGATTTAGACCCTTGAAAATTTAAGATTATCGTATATTTTATGTTTTTTTAAGTACTTTCTATTGAAAATCTGTTTTCGCCCTTTAAAATTTAGTGAGTTCAAGTTTATCCCCTAAAATTCTAAAAATTCAAATTCACCCCTAACATAAAATTCTATCTCCGTCACAAGATGCAACATCCAAGGGCCACAGGTTCGAAAGCATGTAAACACATATTATCTAGTTCCAATGTTACATTCTTCGTGCTTACACTAACAAGAAAACAGTAATAACTTTGACCTATCAACAATTTGAAGGACTAAAGATAAAAAAGGAGCAATCCTTGCATTAACCGAACAAAATGTACATCATGATAGTCACTTTTCTTCCAGTCGCCGAAGAACAGATTCAGCAAAGCTTTGTTGTCTGCGAAGTGCAACAATAACCCGTTTAGAATACCATTCGTAGATCGAAAGACGTCAACGTAAATAATGAACAGCATTCTTAGTTATTGATAACAAATACACATCTGACACCACTGTTTGAGTTACTCACGAGTTTTTCGAGTCGAATATCAAGTAGCTCGTTTTGGCTCGTTAAGAGTTTGAGTAGAGTCCATTCGATTCGAGAGTTGACCGAATTTTGACCGACTCGATCTCGAGTAACTCGCGATCTGTCTCCTCTCATTTACAACCCCTGATGAGACGTTAGATTTCTTAAACAAGACTCGTAGTTTGAATCTTAGTGTTATAAATGAAGAAAATTAGGTTGAGAAGATGATCCCATTCAATCTTTAAGATATTCGATTCGAGTTAATTTATATATGAATAAAGATACTAATAATTATTAAAATAATGAATTCAATTATGTTTCATAAAAAAAAAAATTGTGTCCAATTTTATGCAGAGATGTATCATTTTTGTACACAATTTGGCTAAAAAAAACTTAATAATAATAAGGGTAAACTGTCGAATTGGTCAATATTGTTTTATAGATATTCAGTTTTAACCATCAAATTTAAAAAATAATATTTTAATCACTTACGTTATCTATTTATAATGTTTTAGTCACTTATGTTAGTGATTTATAACATTTTGAAGTAGATATATGGAGTTTGTAACATTTTTTATGAAATAGACATTAGATTCACATTTGAAACGTCAGAAGGAATGAACTGCAACTTTTAAGGTTCAACTATTGTCAACGACGACGGTCAAATTGATATTTTATCTGAAGTTTAAAAATAATGTTCAACGGTCAAATTAAAAATTAGTTCTTTTTTATTAAAATGTCGTGTCATTAAACTAACAACATTTAACATCACAGTGACCAAAACGTTATAAATCTATAATGTAAGTGAGCAAATCATTATAAATAGATAATGTAGGTGATCAAAATGTACTAAACATTATTTTATTTGACCCGATTAAAAATTAATCCGGCGGTTGGAAATACAAGTAAACATATGAAATCAACTCAATACAAGAGGATAATCTTTGGACTAAGTTAGCCAAAACCCGAACGAAGTCTCAATAAAGGACCAAATTGAATAAACAACAAATATATAAGGCAAATTGTCATCTTGCTAATGAATCACAGTCACCTTATACTCAACAATGGCATCACCGGTCGTGAAATTGACGTAGTAAGTCTTAAGTTGTGCATATCCCTGTGCCATTCTGAACTTTCCCCTCCCTCCGACCACCGCGAGCTCGCGCTCCGTTTGGCTAACCGGATTCCTCGAGAATATACTGATGGAGCTGCCATTGAATTCGCCTACCGTAAACCCGAAGTCCATGTAGACCGTAAGGCACGAAACTTCTCTGCCAGTCGACACCCAGAGGCCTTGAGCATTCCCGATAACCCTCGACGTTACGTTGGGGCCGATGGTGAGTAGATCATCGGTCGCTACCACAGAGCCGAAGGTGTCGTTGGAGGCGGTCGTCACGTTCGGGCGTGCCACTACGACCGCACTATGTTTTGATTGAAGTTTTCAGACAACTTGTGTTTTGTTTAGGGCAAAGATCGGTTGGCGAATTGATATTGAAGTCAACTGTTTTGGTCTGAATTTTAGTAGGGATAGAGTGGACTTTCATCAAACTTATTTATATCTTATTGTTGTAAATATTTTAATCGAATCAACCGACCGATCGTATACCTTAATAACTATCGATGCTAATATTTTCAAAGATCGGTGATAGTAAAGGTGAAGTATTGTGAATATGTTTTGTCGAATGAAGTAATATCGTTTAGATGATTATTGCATTCTGAATATAGCTTGTTCGTGTTTATGTTGGTTTGTAAGATTGTTTTATTTATTAAGGTGTTATGAATTTTGTAATGAGTTTTGTTATCATATGTTGTGAGAATATGTCTATGTAGACGTTTCTTCTATAACCTTAATTACAATCATGTGCTCTTTTGTTTTTGGGTGGTCTAAGTATTTAGTATCAAACTATTAATTTTGGTTGTTTTAGTATCTAAATTTTTAAATTTTTTAATATCATACATAACGTTTAGTTTTTGTTTCATTCTAGTATTCTGTCATTAAAAACTAATAGCTTAAGTACTAAACATGTCAAGTTTTTAACGATTTTTTCACATGTAGTATTGTTTTATTGAGTCTCTCGATTATTAAAAATTACAAATGACCATTTAATTACTCGTGTTTTAAACTCATCTTTTTATATTAAAAATTTAATGATATTTTAAAGTAACTACGATAAATTTTGATTCTAAAATCTCAAAATGATCAATTTTTAACGAAAAATGAACTTAAAATATATCTAATAATCGAGTGACCATTTTAAGATTTAACAAAGTAACATTCTATAACCAAAAGAATATTTTATAACTTTTAATAACCGATACTTAATAAAACAGTACCCATAATCGGGATCATTTGTGTACTTTAGACTAAAAAACTGGAAATACTGTCATAGAACACTAACAAATCCTGCTTTTCCTATGCAAATAAAGTCCAGACAGGAATGATAACGTCCCGTTCCCATAGATGCTCAACACATATTAACCAATAAGCATTCGTTGCTTCGAAACAGAAAATAAGAAAGAAAAATGTTTCGACCGATTCTACGTCACGGTTTCGACACATAACTCGACTTTCGGAACAACGGTGATCTTAACTCGGTGAGAAATCAACGACACATTGACAGTTAACGGGACGTAGATTTTCACTTGTCATCTTTAGGCTGCTGCTCATCATCTTCATCCTTCTTTTGTTGCGACTGGTAGCAAGTAAAGGTTGTGATGACAGATCAGTTAACTATTAAGACGACGATCTAAAACACTACATGCATTTCATGCTTAGGTTATGCTAGGTTTAACGAAACCAACCTCGGATTGGCCCGGCAAAGATGCTAGCAGATCTTTCACACTTGGATCGTTTGGGTCGACCCCCGGAAGCTGTAAAAGCAGCAACACATCAGAATATAGGCACTCGCTGGGACTATCTACCTGAATAAGTTAAAACAACCAACAAAATAAAAGGACATACCCAAGGCCAGTTCCTGATCATCATTAGTTTCCTCGGACGTTTGAGCATCACCTGCAGAAGAATCAGATCCAGGGATATTCATGGACAATGCAAGGGCCTGCTTTAGCAAAGCATCATCCTCATCCTGCCATAACATCAATTAGCAAAACCCAATTCGAAACTCCAGTTGTATAGTCCAATGTTAACCGATAGTAATTTGAGGGATGGTGAAATAATAGATAGTAATTCGAACTCAAGGTAATACTTACCATTGGATCAGAAGTTTTTTCAGTAGCAGTTGAAGTTGCATTCTGAGAATCAGACTGTGGTTGGGCTTCCTCTCCTTTCTCTTGTCTACCGGCTTCCTCGGCAGCTCTCTTGGCAGCAGCTTCTCGCCTTGCTCTCTCCTCTTCCATGGAAACCCTTAGAGCAAGAGCCAGCTCGGGATCTATATTTGGATCCACATCAAAACCGAAGTCAGAAACACCGCCAGCTGCAGCCGCTGCAGCAGCAAAATCCATGTCAGAGATGGATGTATGGTTTTATGTTATGAGACGAATTTAAACTTATAAAATTTTAAGGGATGAAAATAAATTTTAGTATAAAATGCATAAAAAAATTTAAAATATATAGTAATTTTAAATTTTCGGAGACAACTACTCTTACCTACCCTTAGCTAAATCGAATATCAAATTCTTCTTCATTGGTAAAGGAATTTAGCTAGTGCGATTATTGAGTGGCTTATTGAATCCGAATTTATAAATAGACGATATATTCTTAAAAAATACAAACATGATCTAAAGGGGCTGCAGATGGAAGATACCTATTATTAAAACTAAGTCAACTATATTCAATCATAACTTCATCTAATGAGTTGAATTATGAGTGTAAACTAGTCGAGTCAAACTTGAATACTACTGAGATCGTTTCGATTCGAAAAGTGTAAAATTGAGTTTAGATCAACGCAAAAACTCACGAGTTTAGAATTATTAAGCTCGACTCGAACTCAAAATAAATAAAAAATTGAAGCTCAGCTCGACGAAAGCTCGCGAACTTAAAATTTTCAAGCTCAATTTGAAATTAAAAATTGAAGCTCGACTTGAGTTCGAAAATTTTTTGAACTTGAAATATTCTCAAACTTAGCTCGATTTAAGCTCAAACCTGAACCTTAAATACATGAAAACCTTATATTATGTATTTTTAAAAACATATAAATATTAATATTATTAATAATTTAATTAAAAAAGTATATATTTATATATTTTTTTGAGTTACTCATGAACTTTTCTAGTCGAGTATCAAGTAGCTTATTTTGGCTCGTTAAGAGTTTGAGTAGAGCCCATTCGATTCGAGAGTTGACCAAATTTTGACCTAATCGATCTTGAGTAACTCGCGATCTGTCTCCTCTCATTTACAACCCCTTATGAGACGTTAGATTTCTTAAACAAGACCCGTAGTTTGAATCTTAGTGTTATAAATGAAGGAAATTAGGTTGAGAAGATGATCTCATTCAATTTTTAAGATATTCGATTTGAGTTAATTTATATATGAATAAAGATACTAATAATTATTAAAAAAATGAATTCAATTATGTTTCATACAAAAAAAAATTGTGTCGAATTTTAAGCAGAGATGTATCATTTTTGTACACAATTTGGCTCAAAAAAACTTAATAATAACAAGGGTAAACTGTCGAATTGGTCAATATTGTTTTATAGATATTCAGTTTTAACCATCAAATTTAAAAAATAATATTTTAATCACTTACGTTATTTACTTATAATGTATTAGTCACTTATGTTAGTGATTTATAACATTTTGAAGTAGAAATATGGAGTTTGTAACATTTTTGATGAAATAGACATTAGATTCACATTTGAAACGTCAGAAGGAATGAACCGCAAAATTTAAGGTTCAACTATTGTCAACGACGACGGTCAAATTGATATTTTATCTGAAGTTTAAAAATAATGTTCAAGAGTCAAATTAAAAATTAGTCCATTTTATTAAAATGTCGTGTCATTAAACTAACAACATTTAACATCACAGTGACCAAAACGTTATAAATCTATAATGTAAGTGAGCAAATCATTATAAATAGATAATGTAGGTGATCAAAATGTACTAAACATTATTTTATTTGACCCGATTAAAAATTAATCCGGCGGTTGTAAATACAAGTAGACATATGAAATCAACTCAATACAAGAGGATAATCTTTGGACTAAGTTAGCCAAAACCCGAACGAAGTCTCAATAAAGGACCAAATTGAATAAACAACAAATATATAAGGCAAATTGTCATCTTGCTAATGAATCACAGTCACCTTATACTCAACAATGGCATCACCGGTCGTGAAATTGACGTAGTAAGTCTTAAGTTGTGCATATCCCTGTGCCATTCTGAACTTTCCCCTCCCTCCGACCACCGCGAGCTCGCGCTCCGTTTGGCTAACCGGATTCCTCGAGAATATACTGATGGAGCTGCCATTGAATTCGCCTACCGTAAACCCGAAGTCCATGTAGACCGTAAGGCACGAAACTTCTCTGCCAGTCGACACCCAGAGGCCTTGAGCATTCCCGATGACGCCCGACGTTACGTTGGGGCCGATGGTGAGTAGATCATCGGTCGCTACCACAGAGCCGAAGGTGTCGTTGGAGGCGGTCGTCACGTTAGGGCGTGCCACTACGACCGCACTTGGGTTTTCGCCGCTCATGATGTCCTGTAAAAAAAAGTGGAGATGGGTTACTTTCTTCGGAGCCGGAACATACGGCTCGGCACCGGAGTAATAGCCTCTGCATGGAGCCACCGCCACTGCGGTGCCGAGAACCAGAACCAAGGCCAATATCAAACTCTTCTCCATCGGTAATGTGATTCAGCTAATGTGATTAATGTTTACATACATAATATCTATCCGAGTTGGTCGGATTTATACAAAAATCATGCTGCATAATGGTAGGTGGTTTTCAATATTAAAAATGAAGTCAACTATGTTTTGATTGAAGTTTTCAGACAACTTGTGTTTTGTTTAGGGCAAAGATCGGTTGGCGAATTGATATTGAAGTCAACTGTTTTGGTCTGAATTTTAGTAGGGATAGAGTGGACTTTCATCAAACTTATTTATATCATATTGTTGTAAATATTTTAATCGAATCAACCGACCGATCGTATACCTTAATAACTATCGATGTGAATATTTTCAAAGATCGGTGATAGTAAAGGTGAAGATTTGTGAATATGTTTTGTCGAATGAAGTAATATCGTTTAGATGATTACTGCATTCTGAATATTTGAAGGGGCGGGTCTCGAAGGTTGTCTGTAAACAATATGGCTTGTTCGTGTTTATGTTCTTTTGTAAGATTGTTTTATTTATTAAGGTGTTAAGAATTTTGTAATGAATTTTGTTATTATATGTTGTGAGAATATGTCTATGTAGACGTTTCTTCTATGACCTTAGTTACAATCATGTGCTCTTTTGTTAAATATTAGTACGAATTAGAGGTTTTTCTTTGAAAATATTTTGAAATGTGAGGAGTCGCCACCAACCATTAAGATGTGATTGAAACACCATAAAATTGGATAATTTTAATAAAACATTTTTATTTTATAAAAATACCGAGTTTGGGGTCATCAAAAACTAGAAATCATGTTCGGGAGTCGATTACGCATAGGGAATGATTAGCACCCCACAACGCCCAAAAATTGATACCTAATTGATTACCCTATATTTAAAAAATTAGAAATCTTGAGTTCAAACTTTATTTAATAAAAATTCACTATGGATGCACAATTGAAAAGGATGTTCGTTTATTTAAGTCAATAGTGTTCACCCCTAGCATGAATGAGGGAGATCAACTATTATTCCCAATAATCGAACATTGCCTTGATTTTAAGAAATCATGACTCAATCTTGAAAAAGATGTCGACCTATTTCGGGAATCATCAGTAGACACCCCCTTAGCATACTTTCGGGAGATATACCATCGACTCCCTAATAAGTGAGCATTGCCTTAGGGTTTTTAAAAAAAATATAATCAAACAATCGATTAAAAGCCTAATTTTACTAGATGAGTAATTTAAGGGATTTCTTACCTAAAGTTGTCAAATTATGTATTTAAGGAATCTAAAGGACTAAATCTAAAATGAGTCTCTAACATTAACCCTAGCTAATTTTATCAACAAATTATTGAATGGATAATTTATTTGAGCAATCAGGTATTTTTTGCGAAAACTCAAATCGAATCATCCCCTGAGTAAAAGACTAAGATGAAATTAAAATGTAGGCTCTAATTGTTACCCTAATTGATTATGATAATTTAAAATTCTAATTAAAAGTTTAAGGACTAAAATGTGAGAACTCTAAACTCTAAGGACTAAAGTATAAAAAACTAAAGTCTAGGGACCTAAGTGTAAAAAACTAAAGTCTAGGACCTATGTGTAAAAAATCTAAAGTTTAGGGACCTAAGTGTGAAAAATCTAATCCTAGAGGGCTAAAATTAAAAATACAACTAATATAGGGACTAAAATAAAAATAGAATAACTCAGGGATAAAATTGTAATTAAAATAAATCAATTCAAAATTAGGGACTAAATTGCAAATTTACAAGATATTTAGGGGTTAAATAATAAATAATAAATAAATAAAATATGACTAAATTGAAATAAATATAAAAATTTGGTGTGAAATTACATAATTAGAACATGGACCTTAATGCAAAAATGAGGGTAATGTAGAGGGATATGAAACAATTAAACCAAGGATTAGTGTTAGAAAAATAAAAGTGGAAAATAGCTAAAAAAAAGGACAAAAATCAGAATAATTAAATGAAATAATAAAAAAAAGTAACCAAAATGAATAAGGAGGAGAAAAAGGGGGTTGGGCGCGTAGTTAGCCCCTCTGTCCCCAAAACACACAACATCGGGGGGAGATGCAAAAAGTCGTCGTTTAACTAGGTGCCAAAATGACATCGTTTTGTAATGTCTATAAATTGGCTTATTTTTTATTTTTTTCCCATTTTGCACATAACTTTCTGTCTCTCCCCACTACCTTTTCTCTGCCTTCTCTCTAATTGGGAGTGCCCGGTGGTCGCGCCACCCATTGATCACTACGTCTGCCGCCATTGGCCACCAAACTTTCAAGGGAGCTTCGTCTCTGTATGGTCAGCACGGATCCGACGTCCATTTCGCGAGATTCGGCCTCCTCCTCCGTGAAATAAGCCGAAACCCTTTGGCATTCAAGGCTCCGATCCGCCTCCGGTCGCCATTGGATCGAGATGATTTTTGAATATGTGATTTACTGGTGTCTTCTCTTCCTTCTCAACAATTTTCGAAAGGAAACGAAGCCTCCGGCCGAGAGGTAAAGTCCCCTCTTCTCTCTCTTCAATTTTTTCGTTCATTTGCACTTTTTTTGCTTGGTTCACATGAATATGAGGATGAACAAAGGTGCTTGGTTTCTTTGTATTTTTTGGTTAGTTTTCGAAAGGAATGCAAATAAAAAAATTGAAGAAAAAATAGATGTTGGAAATGAAGTTGTATTGCCTCTTTGAAATTGAATCGGGAGAGCCTTCTGCTACAAATGTGATTTTTTTCGGGGGCCTCCCTTACAATTGTGTTGTTGGGGTTTTTTATAACCCAATTACATTTGTTTTTTCTTGCAGGCTATTGTTATTTGTTGGGAGCTTAGTACAGGCGACCGGCGAGTCAGGCGCTGGTGCAGACAACAGGACAGCTAGATTTCATGGGATATGTTCCTGCTTTTTGACTTTTTTTGTATTTTTGTAACTTTTGTAATTTAATAAAATAATATATAATAATAATAATAATAAAATAAAAAATGGTGATTTCAGTAATGAATCACTGTTACGTTATACTCAACAATAGCATTGCTGTTGGTTAAATTAAAGAAGTAAGTTTTAATTTCTGCAAACCCTTGTGCCATCCTGAACTTCCCTCTTCCTCCGACCACTGCAACCTCGCGCGTCGTTTCGGAGATCGGATTCTTCGACAACATACTGATGGAACTACCATTCAATTCTCCTTGCGTGAACCCAAAGTCCATGTACTCCACGAGCGTTAAGACGTCTTGGCCGGTCGACGCCCATAGGCCTTGAGCGTTTCCGATAACCCCCAACGTTATTCCGGGGCCAAAAGTGATCGGATCATCGACCACCGCCACGATGTCTAAAGGCACCAACGTGTCACTGAAGGCGGTCGCCATGTTAGGACGTGCTACGAAGACCACACTAGGGTTATGTTCGGTGACGGTGTCGTGTAGAATCAAGGCCAATATCAAACTTTTCTCCATTGGTAATGGGATTTAGCTGCTGTGATTATTGCTTACATAGATAATATTTATACGAAGTAGGTGGATTTTATACAAAATCAAACTAAGCACAAACATGTTGCATGATGCTAGACATGGTTGGTAGTCCTATGTTATAATAGTAAAATAGGCCTTTTAAAACTAAAATATTAAATATATAAAGTTCACTAATATTTCAAAATTTATTATAACTATAAGAAAACGTTAAATAGTGGTAAAAATATCTTCATGTAATAAAGTGAAATGCAATATAAGCTATTCTCTAAATAATGTGGGCCTTAGACTTGAAAATTCTTGGGTCAAACATCCTAAATACACATATATACAAAAGACTTAAAAAAATTTGGAGGCCCTTACAAAAATTGGGCCCTATGCGGTTGGACAGCCTGCACAAGCCCAAAATCGGCCATGCTGTTAGATTTAGATGATTTTCAATATTAAAATGATGTCAACTACGGTTTCAGTATCAGAAATACCAAGGGTGTGAGTATTCAATGTCAAATGATTGAGTGTGAGTATTCAATGTCAAATGATTGAGATTTATATTTTAAATTACTATTTACTTTACTATTTATGTTAGTACTAACGGTGTGATTTTGTAGTCCATATTTCCAACAGTCCGAACACCACTTGCTGTCCGTCGAGCCAAGGTGTCTTGGTGGTGCAGATAAAGAACTGGGATCTGTTAGTCCCCGGTCTGGTGTTCGCCATGGATAGGACGCCGGGTCCAGTGTGTTTCTTGATGAAATTCTCGTCGGCGAACTTGGTTCCATATATGGATTCGCATCCGGTGCCGTTTCCGGCGGTGAAATCGCCTCCTTGACACATGAAGTTAGGTATCACACGGTGGAACTTTGAGCCTTTGTAGTGGAGTGGTTTGCCGCTACGACCGACGCCTCTTTTGCCAGTGCAGAGGGCTCGAAAGTTCTCGGCGGTGCGAGGAGTGACATCATAGAAAAGCTCCATCACGATCCGACCGGCGGGCTGGCCTCCGATCGTCACGTCAAAGAAAACCTTAGGGTTTGAAGGCGTTGTAAAGAAGGAACAAAACGATTTCTTTTTAGTTGGTAGAATGATAAGCTTGAGAGAGAGTTTGTTATATAGGAAGAGAGAGCTTATGATGATGATGAGAAACACATAATTAGAACCAAAATAACCATTTCAAAGAGTATTAATTTATGAGGTCCATGTACTTTTAAAAAAAATTTAATGTAACCCTCGTATTATTTTTTCTCTCAATATGGTCCTCTAACTCAGAAAATAAGCGAGACCATTTAACCAATATTTTTCGTCGTTGACCGTTATGATGCTGATGTGACAGTTCACCGTGATGACATTGCGGTCCACGGTGTTAACGTGGCGGATAACATCACATATAGGATAAATTAGTAATTCAAACATGGCAAATAGGTTGCCACGTCAGTATCGTAAAAAAAACGTTAGTCAAAGGGTCACATTGGACTTGTTTCTAAGTTAAAAGGTCACATTAAGAGAAAAATAATACGATGACCATATTAATATTTTTTTTCAAAATATACGGACCTCTGATGTCTTTTTACATATTTTATATTAACTTTTTTTCTATTATCCAGTACAGAACTCAAACCTATTAAAATTTCAAACCAAAAATTATAATATCCCTGTACTCAAATCTATTTTACATTTGTCGACCAAAATTATGAACGATCAATATTATTTTATTTAAAAATTTAGAAATCTAAAGATGAGAAATTAAGTTAATTTTATTTTACAAAATAAATTAAAATTTTGTACAAAAAGTTCTATCCTTTTCTACTTTCTCAAAAGATTCTGTATGGAAAGCAAAATATATGGCTGACTTGGTGACTTATAATTAAGAAAATAGAAGTTTGATCCCCTTGATTCGTTTATCAATCCAATTAGATTTGTTCGTATGATTCCTTATCAAGGATGGATATCAGTTGGGTTTCAGTCAATCCAACCCGACTTAAAAATTATGCATCCTTCATCTGATCTGATCTGAAAAATATACACCCTCCACTCGATCCAAACTTGACCTGATTTTTTGAGATAAAATCTGAACTCGATTTGATCCGACCCGAAATAATATATTTATTAAAAGTTATTATTTTTATTCAATAAAAATAGAGATTTAATTGAAAAATAATAATATATGGAATTGTATTATTATAATTATTCCTAAATATACAAAATAAAGTTATAATTTTTCGGATCGGGTATTTTTACCTTAAACCCGAACATAACCTCTAAAAGAACCCGACCCGAGCCGACCCCAAATTCTTTTAAAAACCCAACTCGATCTGATCTGGTTAGGTAGGGTCGAAACCCGTCTAGTTCGGATAATGTGTTCATCCCTATTCTTTATATGATTTTTGTTTGAGTTTTTTTATTTATAATTTAATATTTTTCTTATATGATCCTCGTATACAATTTTATCTTTGACACGTTGGACTCGGAAATCTACGCATCCATTATAAATCTTATATTTCGTACTCTAAATTTTTTCATTAAACGAATCATATTATAAAATTTTTAAATTGAATCAAATAAAATTTAGATTACAAATTCTATCCCACTTTATCAAGATAGGAATAAGGTCCTTATCAAAAAAAAAAGTTGAAAATAAAGAAATTCCATGAGTTCAAATGGGCAACTTACGCTATACTTTTTTTTATTTCTTATCTATATCCACTCATTTTACTATAATTAGGTCCGTCTAATTGCATGTTTATTCTGTGAGACGGTATAGGTCTTTAAATTTGAGACTTTACATATGAATATCATTCAAATTTATTCAAGTCAATAGGGACGGATTAAAGGGTGCGGGTGGAGACAATCATCCTCTAACATTTTACATGTCGTCCTCTAATATAAAATTTTACGTCTGAACTTACATGAACAAACTTTTATGCTCTAACGACATTTTGTTCAAAGTGAAAATAAACTTTCTGGTTACCTTCCGGTTCTCTTTTAATTGATTTTATACAAAACTTACTTAAAATCAACGAAAAAATCATATAAGGTTTACACGTTTTAATATTATGATATTGATATTATCATAAATAACGATCGATGACTAACGATTGTTGATCGATAACAACGATGATTTAATCGACAATGATTAAATTGATATGAAAATTAAATTTTAATATTTATACATAAATTAAAATTAAAAAAAAAGGCGAACAACAATATCACATCGTTAACAATTTAGCTGTCCAATTCTTACACTAAATGCTAAATTAAAGTTTAATATTAAATCTGAAATGGTCGAAAGTTCAGCGATAAAGTCAATGATAAATATTGTAATTTACCCTTTAAATTATTGAAGAAAAAAATATATAAACGGTCACTTAATTATAAGATATAATTATATTAAATCTTCGACTATTAAAAATTATAAAATGATCCTCTCTTAATTATAAGATATAATTATATTAAATCATCGACTATTAAAATTATAAAATGATCATCTCTTAATTATAAGATATAATTATATTAAATCCTCGACTATTAAAAATTATAAAATGGTCATCTAACTATAATATATTGTTTTGCATGTTATTTTGTTAGGTCTCTCAATTATTAAAAATTGTAAATTAAAATCGTCAAACTATTTATTAGGTTTCAAATTCAACTTTTTTCTTTAAAAAATTTGATAATTGTCTAAGGTGGATATTAACATGATAATTGGGATATGATATTTATTTGACAATGAACCGTGATATTCTCAACCTAACAATGAACGTTAAATCATCTTATTACAGTTGTTGGTGCTCGAACTTATGACCTATGAAAACAACATTAAATTCTCTAACCACTGAGATAAATTAACTCGTACAATAATACTACATACATACATACATAGATATAATCAAACTCTTAATCTTTATATTAATATAATAATAACATAGTTATATCAATTAAGGTAAACATGACAATTAAATTAAAGCTTATTTAAATAAATACTCAAATATGATGATGATAAATAGCGTACACTATTTATTTTATGGCAGTACATCAGAAAACGAGTTCCTCAAGAACCACCAAAACCCTAATCCAATGAACCAGAACAAACAGAAGACGAATACATGGAAACGAAACACAGATCAAAGACACAAACTCAAAGACAAAACAATTAATCCACTTGTTGTCGTTAAGATAACTGTCCACAGTCGGCAATAACCACCGGCTTCGATGTTCTTCCGCCGCTGGACCCGACCTTCTCGATGGCTCGAACCACGTCCATGCCTTCAACGACCTGTCCGAACACCACGTGCATTCCGTCGAGCCACTCGGTCTTGGCGGTGCAGATGAAGAACTGGGATCCGTTCGTCCCCGGTCCGGCGTTCGCCATGGACAGGATCCCGGGTCCGGTGTGTTTCTTGATGAAGTTCTCGTCGGCGAACTTAGATCCGTATATGGATTCGCCGCCGGTGCCGTTTCCGGCGGTGAAGTCGCCTCCCTGACACATGAATTCGGGGATCACGCGGTGGAACTTGGAGCCTTTGTAGTGGAGTGGCTTGCCGCCACGGCCGATACCCTTCTCGCCGGTGCAGAGGGCACGGAAGTTCTCGGCGGTTCGAGGAGTGACGTCGGCGAAAAGCTCCATGACAATACGGCCGGCGGGTTGGCCTCCGATCGTCATGTCGAAGTACACCTTGGGATTTGGAGCCATGGTTGAAAAAAATAATGAAGATTGGTTGATTCTAAGAATTTTGTTTGTGATTTAAGCAAGAGGGAAAGTGGTTTATATAGGAAGAAAAAGGACCGAAAGTTTACCTATTTGGACAGGACAAATTCATTTTGATTAGGATAGAATAGATTCTGTTCGCATCGAATTATTTTGTCAGAGGTCCTTGTACTCTTGAAAAAATCAATGTGGATCTTGTATTAATTTTCTTTTAATATAGTTCTCTAACTCAGAAAACAAACCCAATATGACTATTTGACCAATATTTTTCCGTAGTTAAGCATTACGGCGATGACGTGGCAGTCTACGATGGTTGATAACGTGACAGATGACTTGACAAATGAGCTAAATTGATAACTCAAACATGACAAATAGACTGCCATGTCCGCACCGTGGACCGTCGTGTTAGCACAGTGAATTGTCACACTAGCACCGTAACTATAAAGGACGGAAAAATATTGATCAAAGAGCCACATTAAGTTTATTTTCTAAGTTGGAGGATTACAATGAAAGAAAACTAATACGAGGCCACATAGTTTTTTTTTCCAAATATACATGGACATTAGGTACCTTTTTGCCTATTTTATATTATAATAAATGGTTAAAATTGCTTTAACTCCCGCTACTCTTTTAATTTTTGTAATTTAATCCTTCAACTTATATCGAATTTTTAAATATAAAAAAAGTGATATTAAATTATGGGTTAGATTTTAGTATTTGAGATTTATAATTTTAGATTTTAGAGTTCAAATATACAAGGTTCGATCTTCAAATATAAAACCATGCATTCGTCCCTGATAATAACCTTCCTTTTGGTTACCTTACAATAGGTTTCCTCTCCTTTAAACCTCTCTATAAGAATAAAGATAAATAAATATATACGAGTAAAATATAAAATACCATTAATTTATTAAATTGTTATAAAATAATTATTAAATTTATCAAATTATTATAAAACAATCTTTAAATTTATTAAAAGTTTACAATTATTATATTATTATAATATCACAATGACTGTTTTGTATCAGTTTCAAAAATGTAATGGCTATTTCGAAAAATGTAAATGCTCGATGACCAAAATGATCGTTTATTATAATCCAACGGTGTATGATGTAGTTGACCCTAAACATATAACAGTATTGCAAAAGGAAACTTCAATGAAATTGCAGCAACAGTAAGGGAATCAGGTGCGGTGCGGTGCGGCAGGAAAAAAAAATTAGCGACCATTATTCTCATATGCAATTGGATAAGAGAAAGATAAGATAGTAGACTGCCCCAACGCCAGGTTGAAAGCAGGTTTCGTGGCAGACTGTTTTAAAAATTATTTTTCCCACCGGTGAAGTTGACTGTTTTTATTATTATTATATTAAGAGTGGTTATAGGATGATATTAATTCGAAAAACTCTCTTTTATTTTATAATGAATACTCATGTATTTATGTAGATGTCGTGTTTGAACTCAAAATTTCTAAAGATAATAACTATTTTTTTAACAACGAGGTCGCTTGATTTGAATAAGATTAATATGAATGATTAAACATCCCTAAATATATCGTGTTCAAATTCAATATCTCTTAAAATAATAATTATTTTTTAATTATCGAGATCGTTTAGTCCGTAAAGATTAGTTATTCGACAAACACTCTAATTAAGAATTAAGATGCCATATTACATACTAAAGTAGTAATCTAGCGTTGTACAAACGCGCAGCAAATCCGGGTGGCTGCTTTATAGGCAAACTCTATTGGCTGACTCCATGTGTTTGGCATCTCCACCTTTATCTCTCATTCTTACACTTAGGGATGTAATTTAATCCGAAACCGACGGGTTCTGATTCGATATGATTAAAAATTATTAAAAAGATTTTGGGTCAGATTAGATTGAGTTTAGGTCATGTCGGATCAAAATTTTTAAGGGAGTGAGGTCGGATTGTGTCGAGTGAAGGGTGAAAAAACTCGACCTGACCTGACAAAGGGATAATAATGTAATTTTCTTAAAATATTTATTATTTGTTTAGTTAAGTCCTTATTTTATACTTGGTCAAGTCGAGTCAGGTCAGACCGGATTTATACTTCAAAAATTTGGATCGAGTCAAAATCAAATGGAAGGTATATAGTTTTCGAGTGAGATCAGATCAGTTGAAGGATACATATTTTTCGGATCAGATTAGTTGAAGGATACATATTTTTCGGATTAGGTATGGTTGACCAAAAACTCGACCCATTGCCATCCCTACTCACACCTCCCTTTTTATTTCCATTCTAGGGTTTGGTTTTGTTTGGATTAGTATATAATTGTGATTTTTTAACTTGTTTACCAAAAATCAAACCACCTTGAATGCATTTAAATATGGACTGAAACGGTTAATTGAGTATAGTTCGGTTGATAATATTTTTTGATATAATATACTTAAGGATGTGAAATCAGACATACTTAAATGTTCAATATCCTTTTATTTAGGTTTACGGTAAATATAAGTGTTCAAATTATACCTTAAATTAACTTTAAATATTAAAAAATTGTTGAAAATATGTGTCTGATATTTTCGATTACATTTTCAAGTGTCTACACCGTAACGATCGTTACAAAAAAAATTATAAAACGATATGTGTCACGTTTATACTTCTTTTGAAATTTTTATTTTTTAAACAATAAATATTTTGTTTAAAAATACATATTAGAAATAAATAATCCCCTCGGTCTTCTATTCCCCCAACTAACCCCACACGATTGGGATTGTTGGGATTAAATCCTAGTTAAATCTCCGTCCATTAAATTTGAGGTTTGAGATTTAGGGGTTAATGTATTTAGGGGTTTGAGATAATAGAAAAGGTGATGGTCGGTCAGTAGGTGAGCGGTGACAGAAACAATGACGGAAGATAACAGGCGATGAGTGGTAATGGAGATTGGAATGGAAAATATTAGGGTATTAGGGGTTTTTTTTTTTGTAATTTTAAAAAAATTGGGATTTTTTTAAATTAATAGTATTATTAAATTTAAAAAAAATGAAAATTCAAAAAAAAAAACATGACATGTCTCAGATAATGATATTTTTAACAACTGTTATGACGTAAGCACTTAAAAGTAAAACGCTGGAAAATGTTTGACACTTATTTTGAGCGAAAAATTCTTTAAGCACCTAAATTTAATTTTAAGTGTAATTGAGATATTTATTTTTACATTAAGCATTTAATTTATATATATAAAGAGAGGAATTTGAACCTGTAACCCCCACAGACCGATAAGGGTAACCAGATCCGATCCGGGGTGTCACATTTGGGCCACCGGAGCGACCCACTGTAAAAATAGCGAAAATTTTAAAACTTTTTAAATTACATGTAAACTAATAAAATCAGTTGTCACTATTTAAAAATAAAACAGATTTCCAGACTCGTATATAAATCAAAATACAATTACATGCCCCCTAATGACATGTACCATACTCTGTAACAACGCCGGAAGAACTCCCTTATTGAAGTCGATAGATGCACTGGTACAATTATTTTAACCTGAAAAGATGAGTAATAGAGTGAGATTCGAAAAGCTCAGTAATACAGAACTACCAGATGATGCTGAAGAACGTGCATATACAGATAAACATACATATCCTTATTATTTCCAAACATTTACAGATTTTTATGCTGAGCAGAGATCCTACTGATATTTCAGATGGTAACGGACAATGAGCTTTCAGTTCAGACAAATATTTCGGATGAATGAGTTCAGGAGATCAGAATAGATTATCTAGTGTGTTCCCATAAAACCAGTAAAAAGATACATATTTTTTTAGCATATATATATATACACCCCCATCCTTTCACAATCTGTTTGTGTAGGTTCCCCAGAACCATACACCCCACACAACCAGTAACAGTAAGGCCCTGAGCACACAACCGAGGAGCCTGCAGTAATCTTCCTCCAACAATAAACCCCCCAGATAAAACATTTCTCCGTCGGTAAACGGAGATATCAGAAATCAAAACAGAATTCATATCAGATATCAGAACAGAATCCAGATCAGAATCAGAACAGAATTCAGGTAACGTATCAGAACATAATTTAATTCGGAAATCAGATAAAATATTTATATAATTAGGGAACACACCAGAGTTTACATGTATTATTTAGAGGTATTGTATCAGGCAGAGAAACACATTTATTCAGTATGCCGATAGAATATCAGAATTCAGAATCACTATTGGAAAAGTTCAATAACTGACAAAATCATCAATTATTCAGAATATGACTTGAGCTGTAAGGAAGAAATGAAGATTCAGGACATTTACAATCTATGTCGATTGATCGGATTATCAAACAACTCTTAAATGAATAGCTCCCAAAATTAATGCTTGTCAATTGATCAATTCATTGTTCTTCCAGTGTATTTACTCTTTAATACCACAAACTCTTGTCCATAGATCATTTTCAGAATCATCACTGAATAGATCTTCCAATGTCTTTATTTTATTTTTACGCTTCAAATATATCATGAAATACTGACGTGCTTGATTTGTAGTTCATGATCCAGAAGAACATTACATTGTGTATGTTCATTAACGTTTCCAGACTCATTCACATCACTTACTTAATCTTTAGTGCTTGAGGTTGCTTAGTTCATTTAGCATTCAAGTCTATTCCAGTTACTTAGGGATTTTCCAGAGTAATTCCGTACGTTTCTGAATTTCAGATACATATTGTACTTCCGTTCAATTCAGTTTGGTCTTCGTGGTTGATTTGTCGAACAAATATCCAATTCTTAGTACCGAATGCAATCTAGAGTTGAGCTGAGCTGAATACTTCCAAAATTATCATTGAGCTAAACTTGAGTAGACGAACATGCATTCAAGTAATATCTATGTCATTCAGGTAATGACATATTATTACGGTTGATCGACTCACTTAAGTTATGTTCCATAACTTTTAAAGGTAGTCCAATACCTATGCTTATTTGGATTCCTTAATTAATCGAAGGTATTTACTTAGTTTAGGCCATAAGGTTATTTTGGTAATTTTTGTGTTCAGTTTTATTCCATTTATTTCAGAGCTCGAGGATATCCAATCATTCCTGAGCTTGGTGATATTCTTGGGTCATTTTCATTACAGGGTTATTTTGGTCATTTTACAGATCTACGGTATTTCAATCTTTTACTTCCATCCGATCTTATTATTTAATCCAATCTTATCATTTCCTTCAGTCCTTTCGAACAATTCTGACAGTAGAATACCCCCGATAAATTATTTTTTAGATATTTACTCATTACTCGAATATTTTCGGGTCAAGTGCCTTCTCAGATTTTACAAACGGAATATCATGAATTTTTCTGTACAAAGATAGGATCTTAACAATTAAATTCGTACTTAATCGAGTTAAGTACAAATCCTCAAAGTACTTTCTCATTCAGGGTCAACTCAGATTATTTTATCTCTCAAGGGCATTTTCGTAATTTCTTAACCAGATAATTTCGATATTATCTCTTAACGAAAATAATATAATTTAGAGATCCTATGATTAATTGCTTTCTTGAATACTCTCTGATCTTGAAACGGTTCTTTTAACAAACTTTTAGTATCCTTCACAAACTCTCATAGGATTAAAATCGGTTATCCATAACTTCCAAATAAAACTAACATTTCTTATGCACATCAATAGTTTTATCAAATCAATATGTCTGTAAAATCCTCTTATCTAACTTCCATATTCAAATCTTGTCTTTTTATAATATAAGGGTATTTTCGTAATTTTACCCTACCGGAGTATTCTCATAATTTCTCATCCAAGTACCTTTAACATTTAACATTTGATGAAATAAATTATAAGTTGCAGATACAGGGCTGATTTCTTTATCACTAATCACAACCTTGTAATTTAATCTAACAATTCCTCAATTTCTTATATTAGTCATTCGATCCGTAATTAGTTACAGAATTTCTATCACATCATATCGAGTGTATAAATTATTCAACTCCACCAAAGTGACCAACATTATCTTGTTCATGCATTTATCAATATAAACATGTTCCATAAAGCATAAAGAGGTAGTACAGTATTACCTCGATTTCCATGCAATACTGATTGACCATAAAAATTCCATTCGAACGCCTTTGATCTTCAATTTAACTTCCAATAATTCATCAGATACATATCAACATAAATTATATCAGAAACGGAGCTTATTTGCGATAAACGGATCGAATCGGGTGATAAATCAGTGAAAGACAGCTTACTGGGTTTGAATTTGGCGAAACAGACTTCGGATTCGGATTCAGGACGTCGAAAGAATAAAATATGACTTTTCGAAAATTTAGAATTTTTGGTCAAAATCAAAGTCAACATGTTTGACCGGAAATTTTGAGGCCTTCGGGTACGAATTTTGAAAAACGAACAGCGGAATCGGATTTGGAACGTCGAAAAATGTCAGGATAGGTATACTCGGTCGAAGTCAAAGGTCGTTTAATGCCCGGTCAAAGCCGGTCAAAGTTTTGGTCAACAGTGGTCAACGCCGGTCAACGGTTCGGGTCAACAGGTCGGGTCGGGTCAACGGGTCGGGTAAACGGGTCGGGTCGGGTTATGACCGATCAACTATACACCAAAAACCGGTCATTTTTGTCTTCCCCACGCGCAGTGGCGACGCGTGGGGGCGTGTGAACAGTGCCCTGTGTTCGCGTGTAGTGAGTACTATAAAATATACGCAAATAATGTGCAAGTATACACAATCACTCAAGTAATATAATGATGAGTGAGTATCGTCTCCACAGGGATTGGGTGAAATTACGAAAGTCTAACCAAAGCAACGCACTAAATTATCTAAGTATAGTTAGTCTTGATATATACAAATCTCTCGGCAATGGATATGTATATGCTGGTGGATGCGGATTGATGGTGTGATGGTGTAGCAAATGGAAATGCAGTGGCAATGATGGATGTTTAATGTTGAGTATGGTGAAATGTCAAGGCAATGAAAAATGGTAAAGACAGTAAATAAAAAGATAAATAAAATAAGAAGAAAATAATCCTCACGTGACAAGCTTCCAATGAAATAAATGGTAAGGATTGGTCTAAGGTTGATAAACTTATTTCCCAAGTATATTTAAGCTATCTTGTCTTTACTTACTCGACAGGGCTTTCCTAAGGTGTTCAAAAGAACCTAACAGAATAGGATGCCAAGGCATCTGCTCTCACTCAACGATGTTGGACAGCCTACCCTATTGATAAAGACACCCTTCTTAGTCGTTGAAATCCTATCCTAGTCTCTTCCCGAGATCTAAGGGATTAAGTTATAATATTCCTAGGTCGGTTCAAAGCCCCTTGAAAATACCATAACCCATTGCTTATGAGGATCTTATCTTGCGTTTCTTCCGAATACTTACAAGTATTTTTAGTTTAGGATTCTTCCGAATACCTAACCTTCATCTAAGAGATGGACATTTCCATGCCTCTTACAAGCCTAGATGGTGAAGCATTCATAAGCAAAGCAAATAAAGAACCAAAATAAACTTAAATATACCATTAAAAATAAAGTTTAAACAACCATTAAATCAACCACCACCAAATAAGTTAGTTCATGGTGGGGTTCAAAATATCCAAACACAAAGTCATGAAAATATTCGTTCCAACAACCCACAAAATAATATAAAAATAGCAGCAAAAAGGGAAGTGAGAAGAAGCCTTCGACGCGCCACCGGAGGTCTCCTCTCGGCCACCACGAACCACCTAGCTCGCTAGCTCCTTTCGGCGCCTAGCTTGCCACTCCTTGGAGCTTTATCAATGGAGGAATATCCCAAGGAAGAAGAAAGGAAAAGAGAAAATAAAAATGTAATTTTTCTATTATATGCGTGTGCTCTCTGTCTGTATCTATATCTCTCCCATGAGGTGTCATATATATAATAAAAAAAATATCTAGGGGTAATGATGAGTTTATTGGGTGCAAAATACCCCTCATACCCCTAGAATCACATGTTGTGCATGAACCTTATCCTCCAAGTGGCAGTGGTCCTTTGGCAGCTCTGGCAGGCGGTTACAGAAGTCCTTCACGTGCAGAGACAGCTGTCCAGTGCCAGCTGACCTTATGCAGAAATATCTTTTTGTCTTTTTTTGCGCCAGAAATGCCAAGGCATTTCAATCTGCTTTAGCAACGTGTGATGCCGCGGCATTACTTCCCAAAGAATCCTTTTTCTTGCTATTCCCTACACACCATAGACAAACTGCACCTTTCCCTCAAACAGCACCATTAAGAAATAAAATAGCACAACCACCACAAATGCAACTATATGCAACTACATGATCCTAAAATAACTAAAATGATCTTTTAAACAAACAATAACTTAAGTGAAAAAGGCTTTAAAAGTAGCATTTTTAGGAAGTTAACACACCCCCAAACTTAAGTTATTGCTTGTCCTCAAGCAATGGATAACAGTTACATAAGCATAATGTCATGGCAAAGTTCGATAGTAAGACAGTAGGACAAAATTGAATTTCAACCCTCAGAACGATAGGCTTCAACATGCTAGACTTTACCAAGAATTCAAGTACTTTTCCCTAGGTCAAAATCCTTTGTGGTAGTGTGTGTGCGTGATTGTATCGAATCTATACTTAGCGAATTTAGACAATTTCTAATCAAGTCCCCTAGTTTTTGTCAAGGCATTTACTTATCATTAAGCACATTTTTTTTACTCCCTTTTCTTTGATTTTTTTTTAAACTGTTACGAAGGGAGTCAGCTCATCACACCTACTCTCCCACACTCTAGATGAAAGGGAGCATACCTTCCATCCCCGAGCTAGTTAAGTAGAGTCATCCCGTGACTTTTTTCATTCACTCATATGCACAAGGCTTCCATTTATTAAAGAAAGTTCCAGGAAATGCCACGGCAAATAGGAGTGTCCCTCTACAGCTATGCTTAAGCATTTATTCACAGTTTTATTTCTAAGGGAGTTTGTTTTTTATTTTTCTTTTAAACACCATACTATATTTCAATGCCAAGACTAACTAAAGTTCCTTCATAAAAATTTCCTAAATTTTCTAAGTATAGAAAACATACAAATCGTGTAAATATTTTTCACAAAGCATCAAGCCCTAGAGTGAGTTCTATCATTCTCAATAGTCATTTACATTCAGATTCTAGCCTAACAAAATTATCATCATCGGGTATCCTCAAAACATTTCATCTAATTGTCCTACCATTTACTGATGCCATGGCATAATACTATGCTAATGTTATCATGCATATGACCTACCAAGAACAATACCTCCCCCAAACTTAAGGGAAACATTGTCCTCAATGCTTTAAAGAGAACTAAACTAACTAGAAACTATATGTTATGTAATGAAATGTAACTAAATGAAAATGGATGCAAGAGAGGTACCTCAATGTTTACGTGGTGGTGGTGCTTTGGAGGTGCTAGCAGCTCCTCGTCGGGTGCGCTTTCGGATAGGTGCTGGGCTGGACTCTGAAGAATTGGAGTAATAGTGCGCAATGCATCCAGCCGTGGTCTTGGTGCGACGACCACTACGTTGTGCATGAGAAGGATTGGGTGCTGGGACGAGGCTGGGTGTTTCTTCGACAGGGACAGTGGATAGATATTCAGGAGTTTCAAAACGGTGTGTATCAGGAGTAGGGTCATCAGCAGGAGGATCAGGTGCATCGTGCTCAGGCTCTGGAGATGCCTCGGCATTGAATGCCGACAGAATTTCGTCTGGGAATCCAGGAAAATTCTGTTGTCCGTGGGGAATAATTTCTTGAAACAACGATTCCACCACAGCATCTCTATGCTTCACGTATCCAAAGAAATTACGGATGTCACCGTGTAAAGCATGCAGTTGAGCTTGAG